ATGAGTTTATTTTTTCCCCCCGGTTCTTTTGAAATGTGTTAAATTCAACTTTCAACTTTTAATGTAATAATTCAACCCTCCGGTTGGTTGTCTTAACTTAACAAGGCTTGATAATAATTCGTTTTGAAACTTAGGACAACCTTTCCGGTTTAACCACCCTTCAGGTTTTTTCACTTGGCTTCGGCCAGTTAATAATTAAAAAACAACATGTTCGTCTTATTCGTCTTCAACGTTTGTAACTTACCGTTTTCCTGTTAAATTTCACATCGCCTGATGATGGCAGTACGCCGAAGCTATAGTCGCTTTTATTTTTAAAAACTTCAACGAATAAAAACTATATGGGGAAGGTTTAGAGAGTTTTGATCACACAATATATTTCAACCCCCATTTCAAGGAACGATGGATCCAAACACCAAAAAAAAAATCCATGTATTCGTTTAGGAGCCACCCTCAAAAAAGTGGTAAAGTTTCTTTTTTTCTCAGCAACAGTTACAGAGACTGGTGGTAAGTCTTTGAATAGGTTTTGCTGTATGCCCTTTCCGGTTTTGCAAATAATTTTTCAAAATTCCTACCGCAAAAGGACACACCCCTCAATAGGGGTGCGAAAAAATGTTGATTTCGACGAAATTTGGTATCTGGTGGTTTTTGAATCTGAAATTAGTTTTTGAAAATTCGAAAAAAATAATTCCACTGCAATTCTTGGCCGGACAACGAAAATTGACAAAATTCCACGAAGTTTGTTGTCTAGGTACATACTTACGGAACAAAATTATTGAACAGTTTTTCTTAAGGTCATTTTTCAAACAAAAGTTACACTCTGACTCATTTGCAAATTGGTCTTTCGGGTCAGAAAATGTTCTCCGACAGTGGCATAACAAGTACAGTAAACGTCAATATTACATGTTCTGCTAAGGGTGTCTACCTACATTTCACAAAAATTTGTCAAATAAAAAATGATAATTTTATCACAGCGACCATTAATAACTTCGACATCAACGAGGAAACCGTCACAGAATGAGAATAAGTAGGCTATATTCTGTGGAAACAGACGAAAAAAATTCAACGCACAGTCTTTTTTCAAAAGCGAGATACATCGACAGAAGAAATCCAAATTCCTCGTTTACCTATCACTAGATAACGACCAGATAACTGACTTTAACAGCCTAAGTACCTGCTGATAATCCTCCTAAGTAAGTTCCGGTATCTACCATTCAATATAATATACCTATGCCGTTTTTGAATTCTCCAGCAGCGAGCTACAATACCATCCTAACCATCGAACTTGCCTTACATGGAAAAAATTTAAAAAGAAATTGTACGATTATCTAGTCAATGGGTGTTTCTACAACATACAAGAATTTTTTATATCTTCCAATATTTAATTGTTTGTTTGTTTAACTGTTCGTTTGTTTAATTAATGTTATATTGACTTGTTCCATACAAATGTTATTTGTCGAAGGAATTAAATAAAAATGAATGAATGAATGAATGAATCGTCTAGTGAAATCAAAAAACAAGCCTGAATCTTTGGGACAAAATCATACCGTTGTTACTGCTGATCTTGCAATATACAGCACAGCACAAGAGATACCTAATGTGGAGTAACCCCCAAAATTTACAGGGAAAGGTACCTATTTGTACCTATATATTTCACCAAAGAACTGAGATACATGGAGTTAATGAATTGTTTGAGATTTTACAATGCAACTCGGCGGAATGCATTTGTAAACTAAACGGCCTAAATAGCTAGTTTTGGTATTCGGAGAGAAATTTCTTAGTAAAGTAAAATCTCTTAAGCATCGCTCCTTGTTTAGCGAACGCTGCTGACTATCCTTCCCTCTCCGTCTCACTCGCGATTACCGACTCGGCGAGGTCGGTAGGTTTTTACTTAAATGACCGTAACTTTTTTATTATGAAAAATTCACGGTAATGTTATAGAAAATAAAATAATCACAATGCTTTGGAGCATCGAATGAGCTATAAATATTGGAAATCGATATCGTGAAATAAAAAGTTATGAGAGTTCAAAGTGCGCACTTTTCATCTGCTACACGAATTTTGGAAGTTGACGGTCATTTTTCTAAAAACTGTGCATAACAAGGTAGGTAAATTGAATGCTTTAGATTCTGCTATAAATGTACTTTCATTTTACAAAAGGAATTATTGATGTATATCGCTTAGTTGCTGAGAAAATAAATACTTTCGGTGGTCTAGTCGCGCGCGCGAAAATGAGTAAATTTCAACTTTAGCGGCCTATAACTTTTGTCAGGACCACGGGAAAATGTCGTAAAGCGAGATTCTGAAGGTTCAAACATTTCTGAACAAAATGGTGTGGGTCCCAATTCTTTCTACTCCGAAAAAATTTTTTGAACGATTTCGCGGCTCTCTCCGCTGCACTAGTAAACGTGTTGTTTATTAAGCTGTTGAGGATTTATTTTGCTTATGATTCACATTTGTTGAAGAGTTTCAAAAGGAACAACCACTCTCGGCGCGGCAGATTCCAAGAACAAAACAGTCAGAAAAACCCAGACTCACGTGTAGATGACCACCGGGATGAGGAAAAATACTAACTTCGAGGTCCCGTATCGCAAAAACCGTAGGTGCGGCTGGGTTCGAGTATGAAGCATAATGAAGCCTAACGAAGCACTAAGGATTTAGGCTGGTCGCCTCATTTATGCTTCAAAAAGAAAAAAGTTGTAGCCAACTTCCAGGTGCTAACTTTGAGGTCCCGTATCTCAGAAACCGTACGTAGGTGTGGCTGGGTTCGAGTATGAAGCACTAACTAAGCACTAAGGATATTGCCTGGTCGCCTCATTTGTGCTTCAAAAAGAAAAAAGTTGTAGCCAACTTCCAGGTACTAACTTTGAGGTCCCGTATCTCAAAAACCGTAGGTGTGGCTGGGTTCGAGTATGAAGCACAATGAAGCACTAACGAAGCACTAAGGATTTAGCCTGGTCGCCTCTTTTGTGCTTCATACGTGTAGCCAACTTCCTGCACCCGATTGTATGTTCCGAATTAAAAATTTACCATTGTAGCTAGCCTCGTTAGTGGTACTTGTTCCTTATATACAGCTTTTTAATTTGGTTTTTGTTTAAGCGGTACGTATAAGAGAATTTCACTACAAAACCATAGTAATAGCAGCATCTAAAGTCGATAATACACCCGTTCAAAGCAAAATTTAATGCATTACATGGGCACTGGCATAATAAAGCAATTTATACCAATAGATCATAAAAATAATGATTTTTTAAATTTATGCTGACGTTTATACTTGTTAACATTGTGATTGTATTCTTTATGACGATTAATTTATTGTCAACAGATCATTTATAACTTTTATAGCAAGGTGCTTTCGTATCCTGCTGTTACCGTAACATTATTGCGAATTTAATCGTTTGTGCGTATAAATCACATTTTCCAGCTGTGTTTTCCAATTAATGTCTATTCAACGAGGACAAGATAAACATAAACACAGCTTAATATCAAGGTCTGGAAAGTAATTTATTAATTAACGAGGGACGTTCTTGCGTTATCCGTTGGGGGTTACCGTAATCACTATCTAACGTAATGCCTAAGCTTGGATGGATGTTTGGGACAATATTTGTTTTGGTGTAGTATTTATTCCATTAGATTTCAAGCGATTTCAAATAAAGGTTCTTAAGTGATGTTATATAGTGATATACAGGCTGTTTCACGCGAACCGTTACCTAAAAGTATGGGTGAAGTGGGTCCAGACGGACGGACGGACGGACGGACAAAACAAAACGCAAACAATAGCACATTTTCTTTTAATTCTTAAAATGTGCTAAAAACTTTACAGCAAAATATATAATACTATCAAGAAATGTTCACTTATAGTGTGGATGAATATAATTTTACTTTAGAACGTTTTATCTACAAGGTCAATTGGGGTGTCTCCATTTCTGTTACACCTTTCCATTAATATCATTTCAACGTTGGTGTCTAGGGGAGGTCGGAATGTCTACCGTTTCATATTAAAAATGAATGTATGACGCAATGGTATTTACACTGCAATTGTACTAATGTAAATAAAGGGTGCGCACGCTAAGGAAAAAGTTCTTTGTTACACGCTAATCGACAATCACGCCTTCCGAATGATAGTATTGACATTAGTGAGATCACGAGAAGTTATTAAACTGAGAAGTTATTAAACTGACGACACACCACAACGGATGCGTCCGTAAGAAACTTCTATTAGGTAAGGGAATTTTGCGATGGAGCTAATGCTAGAGATGTCAGTGCAACTATTAAACAGACAGAGCACAGAGTACCCTGCGGACAGTCCCTTTTAAGCAAATATACAGTTAGAATTTAAATACCGTCTGCTGTAGTAGTGGGATGCTTTGATTTCATGCCTATTAAATTTCATCTCAAAATGTTTGCGTCACTGAAATTTGAATTTTAGTCAAAACCCTGTACTACCCAGATTAATATAAATTTGAAAGGAATTAATATTCTGGATCGTAAAAGGGAAATGTAAACGGATTCATAATATGACTAAAAATAAAGGGTGTGTTGTATATAAGGGTAACAAAGCGTGAAGAGCTTCTTTTGTTCAACCAGCGTAATACTCGCCTTTTGATATAGTGTGATCGATTATGGAATTAATTTTATTTTCTAATTGCTTTAGTACTGCAAATGGTGATTATTTATAACATTATGGGTATAATAGGGAAATAGATAGCGGGCTTCTACTGTTTATTAGTAATCTAACCGGAAAATAAATTGACAGCGGTATATGAATAGAAGCTATTCAAATGAAAATATCAATAAAGGAAATGCCAACTGGAAGTTGCGTTTAAGGAGGGATGTTATTGAAACGAATTGGGTAACTGCTCGAATTTTAAATGTCAAAAGCGTGTGAGTACCGTTTTCTTGACATTTAAAAATAGATTGGGATATGTTTGGTCGTTAAAATGAGGCAACAAGTCGATTTTGCATTTGCATTGCACTAGTTGAGCACATTTTTTGTGTTTCAGGAGTTTCTGCTAGCAATTGATGTGACATCAAGCGGAACTCCAGAGGAGAAATTAAAATGGGCGTTCAGAATGTACGACGTGGATGGTAACGGGGTCATTGATATTCAAGAAATGACCAAAATTGTTCAGGTAAGTTTTTTGCGACTACTGTTTGGTCAAAACGGCATACTATTGTATAACATTTGCAGGTGCTGTAGCAATAACCTGTTTTTCACACAAGAAATCTTTTTCTCAAAGTTAATAGGTTCAGAAAATCACACGTCTAAAAAATTGTGATTTCCAATATTTGCAAAATTCACGCTATTGAAGCGACGTTAGGTACATACTGTACAATCAAAAATGAGTTCTGTCGCACTTTTAGAATTTTTGTTTCAATGGGAAATCGTACTTAACTTGAACTGCCAAAGGCGACTCGACAGCCACTCATTTTTGATCACCTCTTACAAAAACACACGAAAATCATGGTATCGGTTCAAGAATTTTGTGATAGTTTTCAACAATAATAAAAGCCTGCTTTAAATTGTTCCAATTTTTCTTTAGGCTGTCTAATTAGTTTATTTTTCATATTGATATAGTCGGATTTTCCTGAGTTTGCGCGCACGTCAGTGGTGTATTATGACGTCATCTTTAAGTATGTTTACATAGCATCATGCAATTAATGAAAGAGAATACGCATAATTGTAGCCACGAATTTGTGTATGAATAATCTGAACCCCCTGTAATTCGAAAAACTCTGTGATCAGACAGTTGAATTCACGAAAGGTGAGCTCTACGTCACTAGTTTGTGAACCAATTTTCAATTATTACCATCTTTTTCTCGTTCATGTCATGACGTGATGGAGAATAAAGAAATCGTTTGAAATTGGTTCACAAGCTAGTTTTTTCTTTCCTCCTTTTTTCCTTCATTGTCATGCTGCAGCTAGTAATGCTAGTATCAAAAAATGTTCGCCAGCGCTCGCTTTATCTTCAGCGAAGCTCGTAGAAGAAGATTTTTGAGACCCCTCGACGCGGTTCCCCCCCCTGCGGCCGCTTGCACCGCGTACTTATCCATACCTGGTCGCGGCGGCATCTTTCTGCCTCTTTCCATTTCGAACTTACGGAAAAAATGACACTCAAATTTAGGGGTTAACCCCTTGTGGCACTTCTTTGTGCGCTCATTATAGATTACTTCACGCTCGGATTTTATAGATTTAGTTAGGAATCTTCAGTGCACTTAAATTGCGCATAGTGTGCACTTTATTAATAATATGAATTTTGCGGACATGGACAATTTTACAATGTTGTTCCCAATATAAATGTAATATTTTTTCCTTTAGGCTATCTATGATATGTTGGGCGCATGCTCGTCCAATCGGCCCGCGGATACCGCAGAGGAGAGGGCGAAGAATATTTTCGCGAAAATGGACGAGAACAACGACGGCCAACTGACGCAGGAGGAATTCTTGAAAGGATGCTTACAGGACGAAGAACTATCCAAAATGTTAGCACCTTAAATATGTACCAATTTACGAACGGTAAATACATAATATGTTAAAGTCCAACGTCGCTATCCTGTATTAGAAGTATAAGAATTTTAATGTAATGTAACCAAAAATGGTATTCGAATCAAGTACGAACTTTTCTTTCCTTTTTTGTTTAACACTTAAGGAGATTATATAAATGATTTTTAGTGTAAAGTTTGATTAAATGATGTGAAATGTACAACAATCATTAGCATAGCTCACTGGTGATATGAAATTTGCTATAATGCTCATGTGGTGTCGTCGCATTAGGTGTTTAATGCTACTGCAAACACGTGGGTCTATATTTTGTTAAGCGATTATGCACTACTACCTTTAAGTTGTATGTGTAATTAACCAAAATTGATAGTTCGCCTGCACAATCTTGGGGCAGATGTAAGAGAAACGTGTTTTCTTGTAACTGTATTTTTTATTATGTAGGTCGTCCTTTTATATATTCATCTACCGAACTAGTATCTTACGATGAGGCGCACCGCGCTTGTATATCAAGTTTAGAAACAACTTCTAACTCTGGCTTTCATCCTCTTATACATATCTGTATCTATAACGCACATTATGTATTTGCGTTTCAAATATCATTTACTCGTATATGTAATAAGTAAGGCATGATTTCCGTTTATATATGCAATGGTCACTCCATCAAAGATGTTATCTACTTTATTGATTAGTATTTTTCTACTTGCACATAATGTAAAATATATCTGTGGTATTTTAGATTATACTAGGAAATATGCTCTCTGGACGTGCAAGATTCCATTATAAACCTTGATGCACAATGACCAAAAAATGATGGAAACTTGTGCATTTTAGTATTTTAGTGAAGGTAACAAGAAAAGCCGCATTAATTAGTCATATTCCACACAATTGATTACAGTTAGTTTTTTTTATCACTAAATATTATGATTATTAAATGATATTCGTACTCTATCATTTTGTTGTTCTTCCGTGTGCGTGCGTTGTGCGAATGGCTATTTTAACCCCTCTTTGTGTGTCTAGGGATAGGCAGGAATACTAGTAAAACCATGGGGAAGCAGAACAGCAAATTAAAACCGGAGGTACTCGAGGACCTCAAACAGAACACCGAATTTTCAGGTGAGGCCGATAATTCGGTTCGCAAGTTCTCAATTAGTTTTACAGATGCGGAGATACAAGAGTGGTACAAGGGGTTTCTAAAGGACTGTCCGAGCGGCCATTTATCTGTAGACGAATTTAAAAAAATTTATGGTAATTTTTTTCCGTACGGTGACGCGAGTAAATTCGCCGAGCACGTTTTTCGTACTTTTGACGCGAACGGTGATGGAACTATTGACTTTCGAGAATTTTTGTGCGCCCTTTCGGTTACTTCGAGAGGGAAATTGGAGCAGAAACTTAAATGGGCCTTTTCTATGTACGACCTCGATGGAAACGGATACATTTCAAGACAAGAAATGCTGGAAATTGTTACGGTTTGTATCAATATTGTTTTTTCATTTACACGCATATTAAGAAACAAGAATCTCTTGTTACTGGAAGATCATACTTTTATTGTTTCATGAATGACTTCTTTTTTTTTATCGTTTTTTTGCGTTTGAAGTATCTACTTATTACATCAGTATTTTATTAGCTTCATTAAAAAAAATCCCATGCCATGGATATTTAGTACGCACGTACCTATTTTACAATATTATTGAATTGTAATTACTACAGATCGGATTTAATGCTTTTATGCATTAGGTAAATATTGTATGCAGCTCAAAATAAAGCAATAATTTACACGAACTAACAAAAATGAATCACATTGGCCCAAAGAAAATCGTGCATATTTTGCATTTTTGGGGTTTTTGTGCATATTTAAGATAGATTAGCATTTTATTTAATTTTTTGAACCATTTTTCTTACAAAACAAGTTTCCAGTGGTACTAATTGTAACAATTATATTTTTATTTATAAATTAACAATATTTCTTTGCAAGTGGTTGAAACTGACATGTACTCAGCCTCAATAGTTGATAGGGCTATGATTGTCTGATTCTTCGAACTCCATGAGATTCTTTCATTTTGAGAAATGAAACTGTAACCATTGGTTGATCGTCGATTACCCAAATTTTTGGCCCAATCAGCGTCCGTGAAAGCTTTCATGTCTCCCATCATTTCTTTTGAATTTTTTATCATCTCATGTGTTTTTAAATTATTCTTTTTTAGCGCATTTTTTTAAAAATACGCTATTATATTCGTTATGGCTGGCTGTCCGGCTGAGATCTCGGCAACTACAATAGCTAGAGACTTCAAATATTCACTAAAAGCTTTCTGCTATAGTGTAGATGTGCAGGCTCTAGTCTATTTTGAGTTAAATTACTCGTGAGATCGATAATTGTAGACTTCGCTAATAAAATACAGATTTGTATTACCAAAAATGCGCTTTAGTCATGCATATGCTTATTTACAACTTGTTTTTTTGAACGGCACTCCAACATCACGCGTATACTCGCTGTTTTTTTGCCTAAATTTTGGTCCGGCATGAAATTTTGTAAGTGCATAGTGAGTCCCTCTGCCAGGTCATTTAAATATAAAAATAATTACACTACGATCTTCAGTGATTTTTAAAGGACTTTTTTATTACAACTATAAAAAAAGAACTCTGCTATTCTTTACAAAATTTTATTTATTCTTTATACACCTCCTGCAATTTGTTCTTTGGTACTTTAGGACTTAATGGGAGACTCTTAAGGTTTATCAGATTGTTTAGAGACTCCTCTGAGATTCTTTAGACTTTTTTTGCAGGTTAGTAAGGACTTTTCACAGATATTCATATTGAGATCCCTTCGAACACTTGCCTAATTTTCATAAAAAAATAAAGGGTCACAGAAGTTAAAATAGAATGACGTATGGCATTATTATTGTGAGAACAAAGGGCAATAGCTTACTTCATGCATGAAATGGATTTCTGATAGAAGAACGTCGAAGCATGTCCCTGAAAGCAAGCGTAGCCTATGATGTGCCATCAGCGAAGATGTTTGGCAAATAGAGTTTATCAGTAACGTGCACTTACAGAGAGTAACTGCTACCTCGTGGCGGCTTTTAGGTGTCCCTTCCCCTCGAAAGGTTTTATGTGGCCAAATGGGACGCCATAAATTTATTTTAATAGTTATGTTGTCGCCTTGTGGGAACAAATGGACATGTTTGTGGGTTTATTTAATTACTATAACACTACAATGATCGTAGCATACCTTTTTACACGTTCTTTTCTACATGGCGTCACGATCAAGAATCTTACCCTACGCTTGCGCCATCTGTCTCCACTCACACCAATAGTTATTAATAAGGGAAAGTGTTAAAGTGAAAATGAAAAATAGAACCAAAGAAATACAAAATTTGTTTATTAGTTTTGATCTCTATTTACTGTTGAAGGTCACTAAAAGGTGCTCTTTCAAGGTCGCCTAGGGCCGGGCACCACTAATCGCCCTTATCGGCGCCCCTGACCATATCTATTGAAATACAAGTAAACCCCAATACTTCTTCTCGGGTTTAGAAAGATGCATTTCCGTTTGTTATCATCAGATACATACTCTCAAGATTAGTTCTGCAAAGGTCTAGTGGGGACGGATCCATATGTTTGTTGTTGAGTTTTTTGTTAGCAACAAATTGGACGCAGGACTGTCCAATCTCATTTTGTTTGTGTTGTGTCTACATCAATCAATCAATCTGGCAAAATCTAATGCTTTATGTGTCGAAAGAGCTTGATGATTTTAAACTCGTTAAGGGTTGTGAACTTTGAAAACGTTATGAATCCAATCCCTTGCACATTTCCGCAGAAAAGTTCAGTTTTTTGTTTAGAATGGGCAAATCTGCCCAGAACGTGTATCATTAGTCCTTTGTTTTTCAGAGAAAGATGAAATTAGGTTTCATTCCTCCATGTAGCGATTTGTTTTTTACAGACTATATATTGGAACCCCCTCCATTGAAATCTTTAACGTTATTTATAAAAACATAATGGTAGCTATATAGTGAATTCAAAGTACTAATCCACATGTGTGTGATCATTTGCAGGCAATTTACAAGATGGTAGGTTCCGTCATGAAAATGCCGGAGGATGAAAGTACACCTGAAAAGCGAACAGATAAGATATTTCGACAAATGGATAGGAATAAAGACGGTAAACTTAGCCTAGAAGAATTTATAGAAGGTGCCAAGAGTGACCCATCAATTGTACGATTACTGCAGTGCGATCCTCAGGCCCAGTAGCCAAAGACAGTAAATTTTAAAAATAACTTAAATATATTTTATGTGATCACAGTTCTTTCGTGCGGACATCCCCCCCTGTTTATTTCAATGTCCACAATTGATTTGTCGTTCTCGCGTTTTAAAACATGGATTGTTACGCTCGTCCTCGCATAGGTTAATATTATAAATGATATATTTAATAAGTTAATTAAAGTACCTCCTCAACTCTATTTCATATTTATTTATTAATATGTCTCGAACTTTCAAATACGTCTTAATATTATCAATTTTAATGTTACTGTTTCTCAAAGATTTATGTGATTTAAGAATGAATGTTTATGGTCTAATTTTATTGTGATGTTTCAACGTTTATCTTTGTCGTAATTGGTGCTTAAATTATTTGCGCAAAGGCCAATGGCTATCAAGACGAATAATCTATATCTCTAATATTATTATTATACTACTTAACTTAGTTGTTTAGTCGACTGGTCTTTTGTGCGCTTCATCGCACTTGTGTATTAAAATATTGTCACAGACTTATTTCTTCAGTTAAGTTCGACGAATATTTATTATAATTAATAAGCACTATATGCGAAATTCATAAATTACTTACATGTGTTTGATACACGGTATATACATAGTATATGATGTTATAACAATAAGATTTTAATCCTGATTCGATGATGGCCTAACCGTAATGTTTGCAATAGTTCTAGTCGATTATAACAATAAGAGAGTTCTAAAAAGCGAGCCATCGCACATGTGCATGCACAGAGATTGACTCGATCTTCCGATAATATTTTAAATGAACTTATGTTTTAAATATCAATACTTGTCTACATGTATATCACATAAAAAAAAATAAATATTGCTAATGTATCAGTTGAAAATTTGTTTCATTTGTATTGGATAGTTTGTAGAATCGTACACGTTTGGGAACAAGCATCCATTTCTGCACACAATGTATACAACTGTTTATTATTGGAATGGCCGCCTAATCTATAACGAATCGACTTCACCAAATTAGATCACTTTTTTGGTAAAAAAGGAAGGTTATACTCTGCCTTTTTTTGAGCCCCGAAAAAAAATTGTCTCAGATCGACCCGGAAAAAAAATTTTCTTATAGAATGTGGCCTGTAGAATCCATAATTTCAAACAGTTCCAAGATTGGGCTACTAGTTCAAAAGTTACAGCCCTTTGAATTTTCTTTTCGAAATTGGTTTCTTCTATAACTTTTGATTGAGAAGTCTGATCGAAAAAGTACGAATTGATTTGGATTCTACGCACCAAAATTAATAAGAAAAAGTGTTTTTCCGAGAAATTTTGGTGCAGTCGATTTTTGGTAAAAAAGGAAGGTTATACACTGCCTTTTTTTGAGCTCGACAAAAAAATTGTCTCAGATCGACTCGGAAAAAAAATTTTTCTTATAGAATGTGGCCTGTAGAATCCATAATTTCAAACAGTTCCAAGATTGAGCTACTAGTTCAAAAGTTACAGCCCTTTGAATTTTTTTTCGAAATTGGTTTTCTGCCTATAACTTTTGATTCAGAGGCCGTATCGACAAAATATGAGACGTTTTGGAATCTATGAAGCTAAATTAATAGGAAAGGTTTTTTTGTGGGTACTAACAAAACCGTCTAGGTTCTTTTCCAGACATTTCTAAGCTATTTATAGAACCGTATATATGTCTCAATTCTACGCAGTTTAGTCCTGGAAAGGATTGAAAGAATTCAAGAAGTCCTTGAAACCGTACAGTGTACCTACCTACCTAAAAAACGCGCCCTATCGAAGCATTATATCCCACTTCCTATTTCAATAGCTTTCTGCCGTTTCTAAAAACTTCTATAAATCCCTTCTCCAGAGTACCTGGACCTCTAGGCTTTCTCCAAAGCACACTATATGCTCTTTTAGTGACGTACTATGCTCACAGATTCTCGAAGAGGGCGTGACACCGTACGCGGCTCTTCGAAGGTCTATGAGAAGTCCTTGGAAAGTGCTTGAAAGGTTCTATAAAGCCTCCTATACGCATTCAAAGGCTTACCAAACCTTCCGAAGGCTTTCCACAAAATTTTATTCGATTTCCACACATTTATGTAAAACTTTACTTCAGAGATTTCGCTGGGTTCTGCAGAAACTATAATATATTCTTTACAAAACTTTCGCGGTAGGAGCTCCTCTAAAAGGAGCATCTAAAGCTTCTGGAAAACGCATCAGCGCATCACTGTCCAAACCGAATGGAGTATCTCTACACGACGCAGCTTCTGCAGCTATGAAAAATAGTCAATCTTTGTCGATCGGTTCGTTTTGTATAATAGCATTCGAGGCATTGGCGTTGCATCGACTTCAACATGGTAGGCCAGTAACTATATCGAAAGATTTTGTCCGTCGGTCCATGATGTATCTCATCTTATTTGTATTATGTGATCAGTTACCTACATGACATTGGAATTTCTATCTACACCCACTGAATGGAAGGGTAGTAAGTTAGCGAGTATTGCTTATGCGACCTTATGCTTTCCTTTAATACTATTTACATTTTTGGTTACAAAATGAAACAAACATTTGGTGAGATACATTAGCAAGTAAACTAATACAATCGAAGCGAGTATTACATCTAATAAAAAGTACTGATACCAACTTAAGCTTCGAGCAACAGATTTGAGATGATCGGCCCCTTGGTATCGTATTACATATTCAATCCAATAAATAGCGGTATCCAATGGTCGCATTGGTTGATCGTGCATAATTTTCGATCGTTGTTTCACGTTTCTTGAATACCTATCGCCAGCTAAATAAAAAATTAATCACGATTCTATACACTTACGTGGGATTCTTCAGCAATTCTTCTAATGCAAAACTGAGAGCGTCCTCGGATAGCTCATTGTAATGCACTGATAATCCGTACCCTCCCTTTACAACGGACGCTAGGTTCGTTTCCTGATCGCCAAATACTGGTATACCCAAAATGGGTACGCCATGGTATACTGCCTCGATCGTGCTCAGTAAACCGCCGTGAGTAATAAATAACTTCACATTGGGGTGCACTAAAGCACTTTTCGTTTAGTACACGAGCACAAAAACGACGTGGCTTACCTAAAATGTCCTGTTGAGGCCACCACTTTCTGATGACGATGTTTTCCGATTTTCCTACTAAATTTTCGTCCTCCCATTTCCATAGAACGGTTTGATCTAATTTGGCAAAAGCGCTTAGCAGCATATTTAGTTTGTCAACTGGCATATCTTTACTTTGAAGATTGGAACCCATACTAAAGTACACTATTCCGTTCTTCGCCCTATCCATTAAGTTTCGTAGTTCGTCGGGAAGAGGCTTTGGTTCATTGACGTGATAACCTGCCACGTCAATTATGTTCGGCAAAGAAGGCACGGGGGAATTTATGCTTAGGTGCGAGTTGACAAGTATTAACGAAGAGTTGTAATACACATCGTAAATATTTGGGGGGTTTGGAAAATACGTCTGCAGCAATTGATTGTGCTTAGGGAGCGTGTAGAGATGAGTCACCAGGGCCACTGCTAAAAAAGCGAATGTGTTGTAGCATCTTTCCAAAAAGCTCATGGGGGAGGACAAGTCGACGAACAATTCTGGCACATACGATGGCGGTCCTGGATTTCCCATTTGCGGATTTATCCAATTGGGGGCCAACATAGTCACCACCGATATACAAGGAGCTTTAAAGTGGTAACAGAATCCTTTATACGCCTCTGTGGCGAACTGGTGAACGATAACGGCATCAAATTCAGCATTTGACTTTAAAAGCGCCTGCACTTTCGAGTCGTTTAGCGTTTTTTCAGAGAATGTAATGCCCAGTGTGTCAACTGTCCATATTTTTTCTAAAGGACTCAGCTTGGAGTGAATGGTAAATAAATCCTTTTTCAAACCTACAAAAATCATATCGTATAGTGGAATGTGAGGAAAATTACCATTGCAAATAAATTGCTATTTAAAATGTATACCCACCCATGTATTGAAAATGCGAAGAATTTGACGTCAAATCTTTGCCAATCAATGCACATATTTTTAATATTACCATACATTAGTTTTACTTTGTCTGATTGACACTTGATCTACATTACCAATTAATAACGATGAGTAATGACTAATGTTAAGGTCAATTCATCGCAACTTACCCCTAGCTTCAGCAATGGTATTTGTTAAAAGTATCTGCTGAAAATTGTTCACTGGTTTATCCTCGGCGTAGGGTGAGATAACAGTAACATTATGACCCCTTCTTGCCAATTCCTTTAATATTTTGTCTCCCAGTTGATAATGGCTGTAAGCAGGATACGGAAATACGCCAAGAATTCGCACACTTTTTGCTGCATGTATTAAAGGCAACAAAATCACTATCACTTTGAGTAACATGTTAGTAGAGCAATATCAACCTTTTGCATGCAAAAATCAGGTGGACATATGGATTTGGATTACATAGAGATAGAAACGCATCCAATCACCGGTGAAGGTGATTTTAGTCTTTATACTTATTAGGCATTTATTAATGTAAATATTATGCTATCGGCAATCCGGTTTATTTTATCCTGTTAGTGTCATTAGTTGATATAGCGAAGCAAAGAAACTAAATTGGTTATTCCTGGTACGCATTTAGTATATCTACAAAAAACGCGGATTTCGAAAAAGTAGCCCTTTTGCCTCTAAAACCAATAGAAAAAGACTTGCATCGGTAGGAAATCGAATCTTTTTCATAAGTGCCTGGTTAGTTATAGTAGTCCACAAGAGCAAAGAAAAATGGGCGTCCAGAATTTTCAAGATCGGAAATTAGTTTTTCGCCCATAACTTTTGATGTAGGTACCTACCGGTCAAATCATTTATTAACATTTTGGTCATTTTACATTCGATAGAGGCTCACTTCCCGATCAGTTTATTTTTTTCAACCGAATTTATAAGCAATTGGGACCGGAAAAGAACTTTGTCCTTAGATTTTGGCCTAAAGAATCTAAAACGGTCAAAACTTTCAGATTGGGCCGTTTACATCAAATTTGAAAAAGATTCTTGTAAATCGGTTTTTTGCCCATAACTTTTGATCTAGTCGGCCAATCTTGAAAATGAGTACGAATAATGCTCAGGTCTCAAGTATTCGGCCACTGCAAAATCATCAACTATCTAGACCTTGATTGTCACCATTTGCAAGAACAAACACCATTCAGCAATTCACTTGAACTCGTGTGGTGCAACTAAGTCTCTGGTGTGGTGTGAGTAAAATTATATGCCGCAGTGGAGTGGAAAGCAATGAAAAAGAATGGCATCAAAATGACCGTTTTGTATCTACTCTGTAACTAAATGTAAGATAACCAAGCCTCAAAAAAAGGCAGTGTATAACCTTCCTTTTGAACTAGTAGCCCAATCTTGGAACTGTTTGAAATTATGGATTCTACAGGCCACATTCTATAAGAAAATTTTTTTTCCGGGTCGATCTGAGACAATTTTTTTGTCGGGCCTCTAAAAAAGGCAGTGTATTACCTTCCTTTTTTACCAAAAATCGACTGCACCAAAATTTCTCGGGAAAACACTTTTTCTTATTAATTTTGGTGCGTAGAATCCAAAACAATTCGTACTTTTTCGATCAGACTTCTCAATCAAAAGTTATAGACTAGAAACCAATTTCGAAAGAAAATTCAAAGGGCTGTAACTTTTGAACTATAGTAGCCCAATCTTGGAACTGTTTGAAATTATGGATTCTACAGGCCACATTCTATAAGAAAATTTTTTTTCCGGGTCGATCTGAGACAATTTTTTTGTCGGGCCTCAAAAAAAGGCAGTATAACCTTCCTTTTGTACCAAAAATTGACTGCACCAAAATTTCTCGGGAAAACACTTTTTCTTATTAATTTTGGTGCGTAGAATCCAAATCAATTCGTAAGGCCGGAATGGGACTTTAAGCAAAGAGTAACTTTGCTTCTGGGTTGCGATAGACTGGTGGACAGGGTCTACGCAAGCCTCAACCTCGGACCCTTTGTACTACCTTCCTGACTAGAGTCCTTCGACCCCTCAACGTCACTCAAGTCATCCCACACCAGAGATGAACTTAAAAAGATGCTGAAAGGGGACGCGGCTCTAATAGCAGCAATGTCCGGCTAGAATATCGGTACCCCCAACATAGATCGCCTCAGGTGGTGTACCGTCTCATCGTCTGTGTAACCCTCATCTACACTGTACACGATCTTAGAGCGGACGGGAAAGCTCTCAGCGACTAATCAGGCATTTAGAAGCATTGTATAGCTTTTTCTAGACTTCGCTAACTAAAGACGACTTTCAAATTTTGAAAACGGCCTCAAAATATTCGAAAACTCTAGAAATCGCTCGCTGGTCTCTTCCAGATAGCGTCTTATATTGTACCCCTCTATATTTAATCGCCCACCCAGTTTTGAAATTTTTTCCAGCGTCTGCTGTGTTTCTTTATTTTATACGTTCGTCTAGCTTTGGAAAGATCCAGAAAGCTGGCGAACGCGTTCAAAAACCTTTCAGTTGAAACGGTCTAGACAGTTCTGGAAAGGCGCAGGAACGTTCTATTGAATGCATTTACAAGATCCTGAAAAAATGAAGGAACTTCCATATCCTTTCGAGTACTGTCTAGGGTGCAAGTGCATCCAAATACCTTTTATTAAGCATAAACATGCAGGAGAGCAATTGTCTACCTCTAACTTACCTTAACTTCTGTCTGTATTCTGTAACCACAGAGCCAGGATATAATCATCAATTGACCAGAATGGAACTGTAAAAAGACAAAACTAAGCAGAAAGATGATCATGATTTATTATTGTAATCGTCAGAAGATGGATCCCTCCCTAGCTCTGTGGTTGGGTATTCCACAGCGCCTCCACCTAATAGATGTTGATGAATGAAGCACCAGAGGCTTATAGATGATTAATTTGGCGATTACCCATCTTTGAAATAATAAGTGAGCAGTACTTGTCAGCCTGGTCTTAAATTACACAATACGAAATGATACTAATGGAATATGACAATGTGTATAGTTTTATTATTTTTTAAAACAACTAAGCTGCTTCTGCGTTTTGGTTCGATGTTGACCTCCTCTGTTTCCTCTTGATCGTTTTTGGCTATCTTGATTGTTTGTTCCTACACGATTTACGTTTGCTGTTGTTTTGGTTGCTGACACCGCTGTATTATTATGTACGGTTACGGATACGGGTGGTGGAATGGGCGGTGCCAATGGTACCGTGGGTGTACCTATACGTCCCGCTCCGTTGTTGGTACCGTTGTTTAATGGTAGTACATTGTTTGTGAGGGGAACTGTCGACGGCATACCTAATATTTGATTTGGCTCACTCATATTTAATTGTTCATTGAACACCATACAAAATTCACCAACTTTTTGTAAGTCACCAATTTTGGAGGTATACAATGTGAGACAATTGCGCCAAACGGCCACGTAGCCCTTTGTTAAACGAACAATATCACCGGGCCCTAATAACTGGCCCGCCTCGTCCCAAACACTCGCATTTATGCAAGCACTTTGATCGGCCACTTTGAAAGTTCGAACTTCGCGGTTTTCTTTAGTTAAGGTGGGGTGTCCAACCTCCAACACTATAAACACAACATTAATATTTTTCAAACCAGGTCGCATGTCTTTGATTTGAATATAATTCGCGTCCATTTTTTTTGTGCCTATTCGATTCTAAAATTGAGATGCAAAATTACGTTGTCACAGTAAAAATAAGGACTAAGAGAACCTTTACATGAAAGGTGAAATGGTAAAATGCAAATTACAATGGGATACTTTTCTTCCAGTATGTTGGTACTCGTATCTATCTGAAGTTAACGCTGAAAGTTTCTACTTTACCAGGATGCGTTTAACTAAAGTGTCCTTTACGATGAATCATTTTTTTCTCCAGAGTAAAAAAAGATTAATATGAACTGGAGAGTTCCAAATATGCGTGTAGTTAACTTAATATCTTAATAATATAGATCTATCGGATTGCGATTTGTAACCATCTGAACCCTTAACTAAACATCACTCAAAAGTGTCACTTTAGACTAATGTCTTATTTTGATTACATATCGAGTTTTATTGAGGCATCACCGATATATTTAAAAGTACATATTCAAAGGCATTGCTATCATGAAGTAGATTGGGGAAGTGCTGTCCTTCTCCAACTCTTTTCAATACGTAGGTTGTCGAAATGGCAGAAGAATGGCAATGCAGAAAATTGATTATCTGCAATTTTCACCACTTTTGTCTCTTAAAGTTATATTAAAAGCTATATTTCTGTTGTATATTAAACTTTATATTAAACATAATAAATAAACATTTTGCAGTAAATACATCGAAATAGTTATGTACATGATAAATGCTATCAATTTTTTTCTACACAAGTTATACAATGTGTATTACTTATTTTTAACAGTCATCTTTAATCGGAAGCATTAATTCAATTAAAAGGGCAAGTCACCAATGGATTCTAGCAAAGCTTTTAGTACACACTTAGTATACCACAGTCTCCTTTAATTGCACTGGTATAAACAATAAAAATAATGATAGAAAACTGTGTCAGTAGCACTTAATTTATTCAGAATGAATCCATTATTGAATGTCCCAGTATATTTATTTATGGATGGCACATATTAAATCGGCACAATATTTATTACAGCTACAGTAAATATTAACAGACGTGATGCACGGGAGGCTTAACAAAATCAAAGAACACAAAGCTGCTTATAGGATTCCACAAGGAGCTATATAAGGACCTAATTTTTTTACATCAGATATGCCAACGTTAATTTATGTACACTCTTTAAATTTGAATATAAACCCTACCACACCAAATGATAGATCTTTCTTTGCTGATCATTAAGATTAATAGAGCAAGGAATGAGATGCCAACCCCCAACTTCTGCTAGATACCGTCACTGAGTATTAGTAATTTAAAAAGAAAAATCGTTATCTTATCGTCATTCGGCTATTTCCAATACAAAAATAATTATCGCTTGTATCGGCCCAGATATGCTTTACAATTTGGACAATAATGATGAACGTCCATGCACTTACTAATGCAACAGGGAATGAAACAGCATCCGCAAGGGCACCTAAAAACCGCGTATAATCATGACACCCAGCAACACAAACACTTACACTAGACACATGAGTGCTCCAAGAATGTAAGCGAGCATTCCCGGTTCCGATCTCGTGGACGAATCAATTTCAGCATGGCAATGAAGGCATATCATATGGGTCGGTTCCGGCCCCAATGGAACAATCGTGGTCAATATCTCCGGACCCCTATGTACAACTACAACCGCCTGAATGAGAATATAACCAGGTTTTTAATTTACTTACATGCATGTTGCGGTATAAACGGACTTGTTGGCGGTACTCCACCGACAGATTGCGAGTAGCTTGGTGGAGCGGCCGGGGGTGGGCCATACGGTGCCCCATGGTAGTTTTTGCTCATTTTTTTACGGGAAATCTAACCAATTATGTAATGGAAATGGTTAAATTTAGTTCTGACCTCATTTCTCTTTTAATTTGCATTAGGCACCTAAATATATACACAATGTTGCAAAGTTGATGTTGATGCTAAAACCGTAAAGTTGCCAAAGGGCAAGGAAAGGGTTGTTATCCATTTTTAGGCAACGCACCAAAAGTGAAGAGCACAGATAAGTTTGTTTTTAAATGACTTAAATAAATAAACAAGAATCAAAAACATGCACCTATAACTTTAAAGCAGTAAAATTTACAGCTGTTGCCTGTTTGGTTGGTAACGTTTATCAGAGTGAAGTAGCAAGCAGGCCACTAACGACAGTATGCGTAAAACTAAGCACTACCTATACAGAGTGTATACGCAACTTTTGGATTTTTTCAACTCGTAATGGGCAAATTTAAAGTATTTTCACCAACTTTACACTACAATAATTGAAGTAACGTCGTAAGAAAATGGCCTCCAGGATTCCTTCCCGTTTACAATGAAAATTAGGCAGTTGTATGAACTAAGATTTCAGACACGGAAAGATCAAGAAAATAAATACTATAATAAAAAACCGACTAAGCGCAAATAGGCTGCGTATTCATCAATCGTATATTGTTTCAACATATACAGGAATACATAAAGCATTAGGTGAAGAACTATGAACTCCCTCTTGTGCTCAATAGGAAAACACAAAATAGTAAATGAAAATGCTCAGTACAAAGTAACCTTTAATTTATATATAAGTTTGAACAAACAAATTCATTAATGATCAATAAATATGAAATATTATACATCTGACAGTATTAGGAACTACAAACTATACTCGTTATATACAGTTAGCAAACATATCTATTACTGCTAGAATCTATAAAAGAACTTCCCCCGCAACCCGGTGGAGGTGGCTCATCATTTCGTCTGTAACGAACGTCGTACGTTTTAATGGGGCGCTTCCTTCTGTCTACTTCTAATTCCAATTCTAATTTCAAAGAACTTTCCAGACTCTGTGACAACGAGGATCGGGGTAACGGTTCGGGATCGGAACAGTCTAATCGGCTATAGAACAAAATGTAAGGCGTTTCTGGAGGTCTAACTGTGCACAGTTCCTCCGCCGTGGCGGGGGTAACTATACAATCATTAAACTTGTACCAATCCTCACTGCCGCGCGCGTACGTGTAATAGTGTCCCGAATCCAAATTTGAACCAACATGGACGACGGCGGCGTATAACTCGTACGCCGTGTTTTCTATATGCACATGTGAGTCGAGCGTGACATGCTGCAATAGCTTCGTGCGCCGTTGCGATAGAGGATCGTAATGAAAATGTTTCAAGGTTAGAACTAATCGCGCGGGAAGTTGCTCGACGCGCGTCACCCGCTCGCCGTCCGTTAAGCCACGACAGTAATCGCAATGGTATTGATTATCGCCGCACAATTTTTCCGGCTGTAGGTAGTAATCGAGCAAAGTCTGAACGGAGTGATTGCCTAGGCTGTTTGGGAAGGACAGCTGCAGTTCCCGGAAGCTGTCGGCGCGCGCACTTTGTGTATCACACGTTTTACATCTTGATATAGTCACCGCGCGACCTCCGAATGAACGCTGCACGATGGTTGGACTCTCCGAATTTGACCCTAGAACAATTAAGAAAGGCGTTTGAAATTTAATAAATGATCATTCAATTCTGAAGCTGTAGTTGTTACTCATGGATATTGTTTTTTAGAGAAGAACACATCTGTTCCTGATAGATAAGACGCCTGTGAAAGTGAAAAACAATGGCGGTTTTTGATCACGTGGCTTCCATGCGTTCTCATATCCGCGAATCTGGATTCTTACTTCCAGCAGTTGTCCTAAAAACTTGAAAAAAAATGGCTACTCTCTCGATCAATGCTTCAGCCAATGTAAATTTGTACTGGATTATTATATAAATCGTAGAATGCTAAACGAATTTAGATAGTACAGGAAGGAAACTGATGAACCGAACAGGAATGGAAGCAATTTGAAGGTAACCGGCTATCAGGGACGGCAATTTTGAAAATTGCGAAAGCAAAAACGGCATTTAAAATTAAATTTAACTGCCTACAACCAAGTATCCATATAGTCGGATTTTTAAATTGTACTCACCCGCAGGATCATCATCGTCAATCCGAGCAGCGCACATTGATTTTTCTTGCTCGTGGAGAGTATCCAAAAGGTAACCCAGGAACTCGGAGCTGTCGTGCTGATGTCCCCTTTGAAAACCGGGCGGTCTAGCCAAAGTTAGAATGTCGTTCGGTGACAGTGAGGGTCGACGTGAATACTGCAGTAGAGCGAATAATACCTGTATTGAGATGTTTTAAATTAGTGACTTTCAACGCATGTACTATTAACACAATTTAAAATTCGCGAAATAAGTACAGAACGAGATGCATTTATACGGGGTGTCTGAGCTAACCAATTTTGTATTTAAGAGGCATCAGGACTCCGTATATTAACTGCCTAAACATCTCTACGTTGTCCCTATAAATTTAAAGTATGACAAAGGTATTTTACTGATGTGTTGATTGATATCGATTCAGCAAGAATGCCACCGTGCTTCTCTAATGCCATTTTTTTAAAAACAAGCGAAAAAAACAAAATATACGGCGTTAAAGTTGCGACATTTTAGTGATTTTTAAAGATCAATTTCTTCTTAAAAAAGCAAAAAATGAAAATTTTACTGTTAGAGAGGCATACATTACCTCTTTATTTATTAGTATATTGAAAAAGATCATTAAAAAAACAGTCAGTTTTTGTAATTTTATGGGGAGAACGGAAGCACTGTTTTGCCAATATTTAACTCTGTATCTTAGCGTCACATTACGGCAAATTACCGAACTTTTATATAGACAGAGAAACTTGTGAGACAAATGCATTCATGGGAGGTGCTAAAAATGCAAGGAAATTTTCTTATCTTTTAACTGTGATTATGTGTCGGAAACCTTTCGCTCGCTTCATTTGCGTCCTAGGCAATTATTACATGGGACACAAATGTGAGACAATTCCGTCCAACGATAAAATTGTTATACCTCAAAACAAAGTAGCATTGAAATTATTCGAAATTTATCGTTGGTTAGCACAATTTTGAACCCTCAAATTAACAACAATTTTTATTAAAAGTAAACAGTATTTTTGTTCTTCAGACTTAATGTGCCTAATTTGCACAAAGGTATGTAATTAAGGTTGGCCTTTCCGTCAGAATGTTCACAATTTTTTTTGCTACATTTCATACAACATTCAAATTTATTTATAGTACGTCCCAGAATTAGGAGTAATAAACCACCCGGCCTACGAAAGAGTATAATTATTTTTACATAGAAGTAGCGCCGTAGCGGATAGCAAATATTTTCCACCAAACATAAGGTATTTGAAGTGAGAAATTAAAAGTGTGCAGCATCCAATGTATGGGGATGGTACCGATTTCGGAAATACATGCTGGGGACGTGAGCAGTCATAGGCGTGCGCTGGTATATTTTCGTTATTTCTTAGTTCTTTATAAAAATTACTGCGATTTACAATATATTGTATACTAGTCCAGTCAATCTTTTCCGTTTTCCCATAAAAACCTTCATATAAAATTTCTGTCAATCAAAAAATAACTGAGTAGATATTCTGCTGATTAATATACCAAAAAATGGATCTCCGAAAATGACCGTTAATATTGTAAATTTATTAAAAACGATTGAAAATTCACAACACAATGCTTCGAACACTGATAGTTGCACTTTAGCTCGAGGTAAATACCATTTTGTGGAGAAATGAATTGTTTTTAAATTTGATGTGGGAATCTGTCATACATCCCCCTTTTTATGTTAAAAATTGTGGAAACTTTCTATTAGTTTTCAACCCCGATAACACCATAAAGCGTCAGGGTCGACCCAGTCTAACCGTGAACAAATTAGTGACAAGCTGAAATTTGGTAAATAAGTTGATTTTGGAGTCCTTAAAATACCACCAAACCCCATAAGTGAACAGCCGTGTCTGTCACCTCCAAACAATCCTTGAAAGGGATGAAAATCGGACTTTTTTTTAGTTTTTTGTCAATATCTTGAAAACAACGCTATTTGCAAAAGAATGTGAAGATAGACGAATGAAAGCGTATATAGGTATGGTGCTGTCCCAGTGGCGAAGTTATAATGTTAATTTTGGCATTTTAAAAAATAAATCAAATTTTTTATTTTTTTATGAAATCTAGAGAAATTTCTCAAAAATATTTAGGTAAAAACATTCATCTCGTGCCTATTTTCATGAAATAAAAAATCATAACAGTGGCGTAAGTACTAATTTTTTTATGTCATCCATTTTTAAATATGTACATTAAAACGATAATATATTGTAGTCGGTGCGGTAGGGTAACTTATTTTGAGGTAGTTAAACTAAAATAAGTCCCGTTTAGGCAAATGAATACTTAGCATAGCATAAGTTTTTAATTAGGTACCTGATTAGATATTTCTGTATATTCATGCGTCAGAATCTTTAACTGTCTACAATTCTACAAGCTAGGCTACAATTTAGACGAATTTTTCGCCACGAGCATGCTTTTTTGCAAACGCCTGACGAACAGTTGCAAAAAAATTGCTTTAGAATCCCTTCGGGGTCCATGTCTTGGTCCACTCCTGGACTGGTAAGTTATTATTCAGCCATATTTGAACCTAAAAATGAAAATCATCCGGGTCAGTATTACTTTCCAGCTTTGAGGCCTTTGTAAAGAAAGTATAATGAAACTATACAGATGAATTGAAGCGATATAGTCAAATAAGAATAAACTTGTAACAAATATAGCAAACGGATCAGTAAACATCTTTTCCTTGGGTGATGATAAACAAAATAATGAAAACAGAATTGGAAAATTTGAAACCGTTCGGGAGTTATCTTGTCCACATACGGACGGGCGGACGGACAGAAAGTCCAAAATTCTGAACTCGCTAGGAGCTTTTTAATAATAATTAATCTTTTCAAAGAAAATCTTGTTAAAAAGTCCTAAACGCATGGTAATTGGTACTGAGCTGCCTTTAGAGTCGGTGAAAGTTATGCTAAATTAGAATCCTTATTTTAAATTTTGCTGTACTAGGTACATATTGCTGGTAGAGAACGTCAAGGTCTTTAATCTGGCATTTGTTATATTTCTTCCTGGTCTACAGTATAAACAAAATAATATTTCCTATGTTGAAAAGCCCAGATGTGGCGCCGCATCCAAAAATGGCGTGCATAGCAAAAATAACATTTTTAGAGGTCCTAATTTATGTTGAAATTTTTAAATATCCGTGACTTTATTTGGTTATCAATTTCCTGGCCGTAACATATATAAATTTTGTTTGGCATAGTCACTTAATGAACTAAATATTTTTGAAAAATTTGTTTTTATTTCAATCAGAAATTAAAAAATTAAAGTCTTTAAAAATAACCAAAATTAATATCATAACTCCGCCACTGGTACAGGAAAATATATAGGTAGGTTTTATAGGAAAATATATACGCTTTAATTTTTCTATCTTCATACTTTTCCCTAAATAGCTTTGATATCAAGATACATATCCCCAAAAAACAACAATAGGCATTTTCGACCCTTTAGGTTTTTTTTTAAGGGTTATGTGTGAGTAGGGTTTGGTGGTATTTTATGGAACTCAAAACGTGCGTTTACCCTGATCGAGTTTCAAAGGTGATCTTTCGATCCCGCTTTCCAATAAATCAATTCATGGCGAAAATTTCATTACAGTTCTCTATATACAGCAGAGCCTCAGAGGGAATCAAACTCTAACTCGATATCTAGTAATAACCCAGGCGTTAGTGGTGCGGGAAACACAAATTGTTCTTTTACAATAAATGTTAATGTTCCAAATAAATAATTATGGTCAAATTTATGTTGGAGTTTTTAATTAATTGTTTGAAGCTGTCAAATTTGCTGTATAAATAACAGTCCGGTAAGTGTTGCTTAGTGACACTTCCGGACTTAAATTGATAGTAATCTAACATCTACGGGTAACGGGACAGTATGAAATACAAGAAATAAATCGAGTAAGTACCTACATATGTGTAAATAAATTCCTTATTCAATTGTCTTATCAATGTCACATTGAAATGAAATGATTGAACAATGGAGGAGGTAGTGGTACTATACGCGTGTAGGGTAGGGATAGCACGTGATACTTGATCACTTTTAAGCTCCACCTTTACTGGCAGTTTCGAATACTTCGTCTCCTACCGCTGCCTCCCTTAGAAAGTACTGTAGCAGCTCCCGATTATTCTTAAGGGGGTCACATCTTCAGGTCTTACTCGCGAGTTAGAATCACTTGTTCATTAAAAGCTTTTTTGATGTCATCTTATACATTTGCTTGGGCATGGGGATTGCAAAAATAGCAAAATCTCTTTAAGAAAATTTTGATTTTTCGAATTTTGTATACCTTTTAAAATTAATCTTCCTTAATATGCAAGGTACTTGAATGATTGACAGGGCATGGGGGGCTTTCGTATTCCACTTTGAGCGCCTGAAAAATTCAAAAGCATCTCTGCAATACCACGTGCAAGTGAAAATTGAAAAACTAATCGAAGTGGGAGCAAAATGGGTACTTGCCGGTGAAATTCTTTGGAGTGTTTGTTATTAAACGATTACTTCAGAAACAACCTCCGTTACATATGCTTACCATTTCGACAGTACAGTTGCAAGTGCATTAAATACGAATCGATATGAAAAATTAATTTCATGTCATGGTTGTTAGAGATAGTTGGCAACACTGGAAAAAAGGTCAAGTGGAACTCATGTTGGTGTCGAAGTTAATAAAATATATAAGTTAAAATTAACGTGTGTCTATTTATCCTGAAGCCGGAATAACATAAAACAATTGTAAAAGGACCAGTCCCCTGTTAGCCACTAATCCGGTCTTGTTTGACAAGGACTGTTCCCGCAGTCTTCTTAAAACATCCGAATAAAAAGCTGATCTGGTGGAACAAACATATACTGTTCACTTTAACTTGCCACCCTGGAATACGAAGAGAGCACCAAACAGCACAAGCAAAAACTATTACCGTAGATGAACAGAATAGGCCAAGGTTAATGAACAAGGTACCACTGAACGGGCAAGCCCCACCTACAGCTGGGCTATTCCAGTTTGTTTTAAGTATCCCGTTGTATTTGCGTAGATTTAATATCAATTATAAATAAAAATAAAGGTTTGGGGAATGGTTGAACACATTGCCCGTGAAGATTTCTGTTGTAGTACCCGTGGGTGAGGTGGAGTGGCGCCAAAACCGAACTTATGTCCCCTCCCGGAGCAAGACATTTCAGTGAGGTGAGGCTGAGCTTATGTCTCATCCCTAAATTCACAAGAAATATATGAAATCTATTGCTAACTTCAGATGGGTGCTTTTGTTCCAAACAATGATTCAATACCAAAATCAAAATTTCCTGTGCAAATGAGTCTGTCCTGGCTAACAACCAATGTGCATATTTTGCGATTCATATTAGGACAGTTCTAATTTAACATTTTGTTCTCAGATACAAACCCATATTTAGGCATCTCACTTACCAACACTGCAGTTCTCCATAACAAGAAATAATCATATTTTAGGTATTTCTTCCTCTCTGTGAGTGAAGATACACCAGTGATTTGTAAAAATCAAGTTATCAATGTAAATATAAACAATTGTTTAAAGCATTTCAATGATTGAAACCATACAAAAAGGCTTCAATCTGACCTAAATTGCATCAATATACGATTGAAAGGATTTAAATCATCCCAAAAGTGACAGCTCTCGTTTAAAGTACCTACAGTTAAAAAAATAAAATGTTGTAATATAAATTCATGATTTTTATCAACAACCAATACCTGCAACTTGCCGAATAACGGCATCAGTTCCCTAAGGGTGGTCGCCAAAATATCATTCCTGAACATTCGGGTCATAAACAGCGCCTGTAGGACGCTATTCATATAGCAAGTGTTGCCCAAATTCTTCAGTCCGACCTTTCCCAATGTGGACTGCGTTAAACTGGTGAGCGGCGACTTGGTCAGCCAGAAATTGTGGTTTAACTGTTGGCCGTAGTTCACATTTGGACTGACAGAATTAATGGCGCACCACAATTTTTCGTAAAGCACATCGTGATCGGGAAAATGATTCATTAAAGCGACGAATATGTTGATGATACTCTCTAAGTAGGCGCGACTAGACTCCGACTGTTCGTCGCGTAAACAATGGAACACCGTCGGGGCGAGAGGGATTACTTTGTGGAACGCAGACGGATCGTGCTGCATGCTCGACAGCATGTATAAGACAACAGGGCCAACTGAATTACGGGAATCTTTTAGCACGAGCAGGTTAAACAGTCGTTCGATGTAGGTCAAAGTGACCTCAATTAAAATATCAATGTGTTGCTCGGCGGCGAGGCCTTCCATAAAATGAAACACTAGAGGTCCCAAATTCGGCGTCGAAGTCCACTTTGACAACCAATTGCACAAAGTCTTCATCGCGATTTCTAAACTTTGCTCTTTGCAGCCCGATTGTAAAATAAACTTCACAGCTTCGGGTAGGGTTTCCACATTAAGCAGCTGTAAAACAATCGAAATTGTAGGCTGTGGGGTGTAGTCAGGGCTTGAAATTGCACTATAAAATGTCTTGAGGGTCGCGACGATCATATCATTGCTCCGACATTCTTCCATTAAGATTTCCTGAATCCGCCTAATCACCGCCATAAATGCGACATACTCTTCCGGCACTGTAGGGATGGAAAGACGTCCCAAGTGAGTTACAATCCTTTCGCAAACATTCAAACAGTCTTCTTCGTGCAGATTGTGATTCTCGTGAAGGCTTTGGAGCACCCTAAGCAACATAGAAAGGCACGGATCCACTTGGGGCTGCTTGACACACTCGACCACTTTATGTTTCACTGCCATTTTGCGAAACAATTAAACTACAGTAAGTACAGAGACGACTGACACTTATTGGTGACAGCTGCAAAAGCTCTTTGATTTGAGCTAGTAACGCAAATAGGCGAAGCGTAGGTTATGGCAGCAATATACTAAAAAAAGAAAACCTTCAGTTTGATAGCTGCACCGAATGACCTCACCTACATTTCTTTCATTTTGAAAACGATTTTTATTATTAACTTTTACGTTTCATGGATGATTCTGACAATTTAGCAAAAATTTCACCAAAAAGGATGTATATAACGAGCAACAATGATGAAGAAGGCAACGGTTACTTTAGTTTCTTAACCGTTTTGTTTGACAGCTGACGGAATATGCAGAGGCATTTTCCCTACATGTACAGAGCTGGGCAGTATTCAATTTTTAATTAATACTTTTTAGTATTCAAATCCTTTGTAATTAAATAGGTACTTTTATGGAAGCAATATTTGTATTTGTAACTCAAATAATTTCACAAATATTTAGTATTCGAATACTTCGCAAAGTATTTGAATACTTAACCTTCCCATTTTACCAAAAATCGACTACTCTACAGGCCACATTCTATAAGAAAATTTTTTTTCCGGGTTGATCTGAGACAATTTTTTGTCGGGCCTCTAAAAAAGGCAGTGTATTACCTTCCTTTTTTACAAAAAATCGAATGCACCAAAATTTCTCGGGAAAACACTTTTTCTTATTAATTTTGGTGCGTAGAATCCAAATCAATTCGTACTTTTTCGATCAGACTTCTCAATCAAAAGTTATAGACTATAAACCAATTTCGAAAGAAAATTCAAAGGGCTGTAACTTTTGAACTAGTAGCCCAATCTTGGAACTGTTTGAAATTATGGATTCTACAGGCCACATTCTATAAGAAAATTTTTTTTCCGAGTCGATCTGAGACAATTTTTTTTTCGGGGCTCAAAAAAAGGCAGTGTATAACCTTCCTTTTTTACCAAAAATCGACTACACCAAAATTTCTCGGGAAAACCCTTTTTCTTATTAATTTTGGTGCGTAGAATCCAAATCAATTCGTACTTTTTCGATCAGACTTCTCAATCAAAGGTTATAGACTAGAAACCAATTTCGAAAAGAAATTCAAAGGGCTGTAACTTTTGAACTAGTAGCCCAATCTTGGAACTGTTTGAAATTATGGATTCTACAGGCCACATTCTATAAGAAAATGTTTTTTCCCGGTCGATCTTTGATAATTTTTTTTCCGGCCTCAAAAAAAGGCAGTACTTTTAAGTTATTCAAATATTTGAGAACAATTTAGAAATGTTTAGGGAAAGTTTCCATTGTCACAAAATCAAATATAAAAATCCGATTCAACTGAATACCGAACGATCTTGGAGTGAAACTTTTTGACTATATAGTCTACGTAACTTAAAAACAATAGGGACCTTTCTTATATCCTTAAGATCATGTGTACCAATTTTCAAAGCGATCGCACGTTTCTAAACAAACTATCATGCACACGGACAAACGGATTGCCAAAAATGGATCTGTTCCAAAATCGCTAGGATTAATTTCAGAAAGCCGTACGTATCATGTGCACGACGCTTTGAAAACTGCTACACGTATTCTGAAGGATATAACTGGTATAAGAAAGGTCCTGGTAGGTACCTCCTATATAATAATATAATAATAATATTACGCTTTTACTCCCCTTAAATTTGTATAACAATAGAAATATAAAAAAAGCTAACCCCATACAAAGTATAACTTGATTTTTTAAGTAGTTTTAAGACTTTTATCTAGTATACTATTTAAAATTTCTTTTGCGCGATCGGTCATTTCTGACTAGTTACCATGGGTGTTTCCATGACAGTACGTAGAATTTACCAGTTGCTATGATTACGACGACGCCAAAATTACTTACCGATCTAAAACCAGAACAGCAAAAATACTTACCGACGCCTTTTTAAAAATCAACAGTCTTACATTACATTAATCTTTAATTATTGTTACATTATACGTACAATTTGTGCCTATAGAAAGAACACGTTCTTCATTTAAACCTGAAGCAATAGAGATCAATGTGTTTGAAGATGTGCTTTCGTTTTTCTTATCACATGCCAATTACAATTTTGTTCTGTAAAGAATCTTCGACATACCATTCGGCCACCGGCGAATACCTCGCTCATAAAGTCATAAAGGAAGTGCAGTAGCAAACTACATCACACACATGCACAATTTTATGAAATTATTAATTTCAATTTTGACAAATAAACTGGTTACCTAGTGATGTACACCATACCACTTCGATCACTTCGATTTATTCTGCTCGTTCATTTCTTAGTGCATATTATATTGGTTGCATAATTTTAATTTCGATCGCGCAAAAAATGTTATAAGCACGTCGAACGTTAAGGTTACCGTTCTCAGACAATAATTGGAGTCGTCGCTTCGCTCCTCCTCCAAACAATTCTCTTCGAACGGTAAAAATTCCTTACCGTTCTCCATACTTAATATACTATAATGTATTTGAGTGACAAGTATTTGAATACTTTTTATTGTATTCGAATCCTTTTCAAAGTAAGGCAATGAAATACTTTTCAAAGTATTCGAATACTTTTCATAGTATTCGAATACCTTTGATAGTATTAGAATACCTTTGAAAGTATTCGAATACTTTTGAAAGGAACTGGAATTCACAACGACTTTTCAGTGGCACAAGGCTCATTGTGGAATCGCTAGGAGCCAACATCATCGAATATAATATTTATTCTGGGGAACGGACGGGAAGAAAGGGTATAGTGTAGTAAAGATCATAATTTGGGCAAAATTGCAACACAAATGATTCATTTTGCATGATAGGTACAGTCAGAAGTGTCTATTTTAGCATATTCAAAATCCCAAGTAACTATAAGATGGCGATTGAAACTCGAATTTTCATTTAAAAAGTGTTATTTTATTGAAATTGCAAACATGTTTAAAAAATACAAAGATTAAACTATAAAAATATAACCACTGAACCTATTTTATTTTCAAAATAGCGATTTAGCTATTTAGTTTTGAAATATTTCAATGGCCACCATTTTAGGAAAAAATGTGCACTTAAAATTCACTGCCCTTTTTTGAACAATTTTACTAATGGAAATAGTCCTACATGAACATAAAAAATAGATTTTGGTAAAACTATCATACGGTGGCGCATTATAGATGAATGGCCATGCCCTGTACCTCAAATAGGGGTGGACGTGCCGGGTTACTTTTTCGTGCACAATCAAGCACTAACGAAGCACTAACTACTGGAACGTAATATTTCGTTAGTGCTTGACTAGCGCGATGTTAAGGGTAGAATTAAACATTAAGGTGTGTACTCACTTGCTACAAAATGCCCCGAACGAACCAAACGCGCCGCGCGCGCTGTATAGATTCCGACAAACTTTTTGCGGGGGAAATTTGGGCTCTTTGTATAGTTTGCGGTATTTGATGTGTTCCCATCAAAATTGGAAAATGTTTGGCGCATTCTATTCTGATTGGGTCAACGTACGGACGACAAATTTGTTACAGCGCGCGCGGCGCGATTGGTTTGATCGGGGCATTTTGTTGCAAGTGAGTACGCACCTTTAGATAGGCCACTGGCCAGATTTCGTAATACACCCGAACTGCTTATCTTATCCTTATGTACGGGTATTATATTATTTTTAGTTGATTTTTACTGTCTCTTACGATGCTTTATAGTATAATTATCTGTTTTTTAGTAATTGTAAATACTGTGGACAGTGCCCGTATCTTGGGGGTCTATCCACTACCATCACGTAGCGATTTCAAGCTCTGTGACCGACTTTTTAGGGAACTCGCACTCAGAGGCCATGACGTGACGGTTATAATACCATTTGAGGACAATCGGCCAATGGCAAATTTTAGGCAAATAGTCCTGGCAAACGCAGCCTCCGCATCTACAGGTTAGTGATTTGTAGATTTCACATTAACTTCTGAAATTTGTAGAAAACCAGCGCATATTTTTTGAAGTTCCCACGCGCAATATCTTCGAGAAAACTATTTGGTTAGATTCTTTCGGCATTCAGTTTACTGAGATGACTTTGAATGATACAAATGTAAAGCAGTTTTTGCAAGAACAAAATAGCTTCGATCTAGTTATAGTTCAATACCTAAAGAGCGACGCCTTCCACGGTTTTTGCTATCATTATGGAGCGCCTTGCGTTATGTTCAATTCGGTAACATCGCCTAGCTTTTTTCGGGACAACGTGGGAAGTATAGCTTCGCCTGCCTATGTTCCCGAGCTGTTTTTAGCGCTTACTGGTGAAATGAATATTTGGCTAAGATCTTATAACGCACTCGTGCATGTATTAACTAAACTCTCCCTTCATTTATATTTTTACCCCCATCAAAATCGTTTACTGCAAAAGTACTTCCCGGGGGCGCCCCATTTAGACGACCTAATTTATAACGTATCACTAGTCTTGCTTAATGGCCACACAAGTGTGAGTGAAGCCATACAGTACACGCCCAACACTATCAATATCGCCGGCTTTCACGTGAGCACCTCTAACGAATTACCCGAAGATTTGCAGAGATACCTAGACCAAGCTGTAGACGGTGCCATTTTATTCAGCATGGGATCTAACTTGCCTTCCAAGTATTTAGATGTAGCCAAAAGGGATATCTTTTTGAAGACATTTTCTAAACTTAAACAAAAGGTTTTGTGGAAGTGGGACGGAGTTCGCCTTCCAAACAAAAGCGAAAACGTACTGACCCGCCATTGGTTTCCCCAGCAAGAAGTTTTGGGTATGTTACTCTGACGATAAAGCGTAAGAATCGGTGTTTTTATAGCTCATCCCAATGTCGTCCTGTTTGTTACCCACTTCGGACTACTTAGCACAATTGAGTCACTATACCATGCCAAACCGATGCTTGGTATACCGGTATTTGCTGATCAGGTGTCGAATGCTGCACTTTCCCAGGCAAGAGGTTACGGTAGATACATTCCTTTCCAAGACTTGAGTGAGGAGAATTTTTATGATAACATACATGAGATGCTATCGAATCCCAGGTAGTCTGTATATGCAGCATCAGATAGTATTGATATTTTTTACAGATATTCTACCAATGCCAAGAAACAAATGAAAATTATGCACGACCGACCCCAAAGTGCAATGGAAAATGCTATGTATTGGGTCGAATACGTTGTACGTCATAAAGGAGCTCCTCACCTAAGGTCTTCTGGTGTAACTTTGAAGTGGTACCAGTACTACTTGGTAGATGTCATGGTTTTCTGTGCCGCGTTTGGTGTGGTTTTTATATACCTAACTATACAGATTTTCGTATTTATTTACCAAAACGTAAAAGTGACTAAGTGATAAGGAGGCGGCGCTATTGAAAATGTACAATGCAACTGACATTACTTATAACTAGGGGATACACACGAAAATGTCATTAGATTAAGTGTGAACACTTGAATAAAAATATATGTTAAACAAGGTACATATAACGCCAAATGAACCGCAAATTCCGAGGGTGCCCCTCTCTAAAACCCGGCAACAATCCAAAATCCAGAGGTTGTTTTATGCAAAAAATGATTCTTGTACTGTCTTGGAACCGAATTAACAATAAAATGATCAAATACCGTTGGGCAGATCCCAGTGCAGTGGAAAGTACCGTTCTTTCCACTGCGAAATGTAGAATGCAATTACCGCATTGACCTCAGTTATTCCTTAGAACGGTCGAGATAAATTTAACGTCTTTCTTTATACTGTAACGATTTATTTTCTCCATTACGAAGCATTATTATTGTTTATTACATGTTGAAAAACCTCCGTCACTTTTGAAGCGATTTGTTGGATGGTTCCATCTATTGATGGCGCAATTTTCCGCGCAGATTGCCAGCGCCTTGATTTTTGGGTCATTTCTTTTTCTTCGTAAGCCGTATCGAAGTACACGTCCTTTAAAAAAACAGCTGAAAGCGTAAGGTACAACGCATGGAATTCTAATTGCCATCTTCCGAATATATTAATCTCTGCCGATTGGATTCATACTTTGGGAATTCTGTATAATTACTTTGGCCGGGATTCACCTGTGCTTCTAGGGAAGTTATACATTTCCGTTCTTTTCTTTTTATCGTTTTTATCGTTATCGTTTCGTTGTACTGCACTGTAATTTCCATCGACAATTGCTGCTTCATCTACGATTGGTCGCGATCAGATAGATCGTAATGGCAGATATAAAAATATACTTGACTAATTTTTTGTATCTCGCCAAATGAAAGATATTGAGGTGACCTTCTTATCTTGAACGCACTGTATAATTGTGCCCAGTATAAAATACGAAACGAACACAAACCGGCACTTACCCAATCCGATGGCGCAAATTTACTCCCTTACACTTGCCTTAATTGTGTCATGATGGCCTCAAGACCCAACAGTCGAGTTCCCGGTTATCGCTGTAACGGCCCGCGCTTTCCTTGAAACGCGCAATTTTATCGCCAAACATACTCACGAACACCTTTCGTATGAAGCGGTAGATCTGTGATTTTGCCTATATATACAATTTTATCACCTTCGGATGATCTAGCACTTCAAGATAATAACATTCTACTCCAGTTACAAAAGAAACATTCTGCTCCTTCGTGATCTGTAATTTTTCCAAATTCCAAACCCACCTGACGAATCTACTGAACCGTTTCGGGTTACTGAAAAATCTATCGCTAACTTTTCTAATGGATTTACTGCGGGAATTGATGGATTTCGGCCACAATATCTCAAAGATATGATTTCAATACCCACCAGAGAAAATGGGAAGCGTTTCTTTACGTCCCTCACACTGCAATTGTATGCTCTCCGTTGGAGTTTTAACTTCTAGCACTCTGGTATTGTTTCGAGCATCCAATGCTCCACAATCAATAAGATCTTGTCGAAGGGCACCACATTCCCTTTGTCGGTATCCACTTCCGACGTCCCATTTATCCGCAACTCGCGTTTGAAGTTTTGTCTCCACGATCAGTAAGATCTTGCCGAAGGTTACCACATTCCCTTTGTCAGCTTCTGTTGGCGATACGAGATTCGAACTCGAAGAAACCTTTGAACGCCCATAGTCGCCTATCCCTCGAAGACGCGCGCCTTGCAAAAGGTGGCTAATTTCGCCCCGCGGAAAAAACAACAATCTGTCACTTAGCACCTTTGCGCGTTTACAAGATCTTTCCGACGACATCAATTTGAAAACAATCGGGTCTAAACTGTAAAAGAAGATAAAAAAAACCTGAGAAATCACCACATTAGTATATCACGCTCGAGGATGGCGCTCAGATGTCGGCGACGTAGCCCCATTCTTAAAGTTAATGTTAATTACACGGCCCCGGTAGGTACATGTACATTCCTCGTCTTGCTACAAGCGTTTTTCTACGGACCCGCATTTACTGCAGCCAGCCAGCCGGACAAAGTGACATTAAAAGTTACCTTTTTCTAAATAAATTTGCAAAAATGCGTCGACATCTCGACAGCCTATCCTATCGAAAAATAACTTTTTAACACGCTAAACCTTTGTAATAATTATTTTATGAGTTGTTTAAGTAAGTAAATTATTAACACGATCATTTCCAATACCAATGTCTCAACTTAAAGCACCTGTTGGTTGAATACATTTATTTATGTAGGCACTTGCACTTAACTTTCCTCTAGCTTCTTTGTAGTGAAATTAAAATGTTGCAACAATCTTCTAAGTGCAAACACAGTGAGCCAACAACAAACTGCAAACGCCAAGATGGCATCGAGCAGAAAGTATTGAAACCAATTTAAAGACAAAGCGGGTGATTTCAGATGGGGCGCTCCGCGATGACGTAAAACGTATTCAATCCAAAATATAGCCCTTTCCATTGGGGGAAGTGGTTGATCGTGCATAATCCTCGACCTAGCCTTCGCGTTACTCATATACCTGCAAGATTAAACTAAGCTAATGCAGACAGGACACCCACTTACCGGGGATTTTGAATCATTTCGTTTAAAATTTCGCGAAAATTTTCGCCACTCACTTTTCCGAAAGGAATAAACCTGCCATAACCGGCATCTTCCGCCCGTGCCGAGTTTAGGCCTTGATCTGAGAATACGGGCAGTCCCAAGATCGGTTTGCCAAAATAAACCGATTCAATTGTGCTGAGGAGACCACCGTGTGTTATGAAGAGGATAACGTTTGGATGAGCTACAAGTACAAAGGTATTCACAATCGCAGGATCTGCATCATACCCAAAATTTCTTGTTGTGGGAACCACGGGCGGATTAGGACATTGTCAGGCTGATCTACCAAATCATCCTCGAACTTCCATAAGACTTTTTGCTTCAGTTGAGCAAATGCGTCCAGCATTGTGTTTCTCAGGTCGCTAGGGAAATTGCTGCTCTTCAAGTTGGATCCCATGCTAAAGTAAATGGCTCCATCAGTTGCATTGTCCAAACACTTTTTCAAGTCGTCAGGAAGTCCTTTTGGGGTAGCGACGTGATAACCTGCGATGTCAATTGTGTTGGGCATATTCGGGCACACCTCGCTTACGCTTACGTGCCCATTATAAAGAATTAGGGATGTGTTCTGGTACAGGTCGTCCAAGTGTGGAGCGCCAGGGAAATACGTTTGTAGTAAACGATTATGTGCTGGATACAAGTAGAAGCGATGCGAGATTTCTTCGAGCAGAGAGACAAATGAGTTGAATGATCGTTGCACGAAATCCATTTTGCTCCCGTAACTCACCGTAAGCTGTGGGACATACGATGAAGGAGCCGAAAGTCCCACTTTATTGCTAAACCAGCTTGGTACTGGCAGCGGACTAACTGCAATGCAAGGCGCCTTATAGCGATGACAAAATCCGTTATAGGCGTCGCTTTTGAAATGTTGAATAATCACCAAGTCGAAGTGATTCCGCTCCTTCAAAAAGTTTTTCACGTTTGTACTATTTAACGCTAGTTCCGTATAAGTTAAGCCCAAATTGTCTAAGAAAGTGATTCGTCGGAGAAAGTTATAACCAGTATGACCTAAGAGGCCTTTTTTCATTTCTATAAAAATATCGAGTAGATTTATTAAATGACCAAAGCTCGCTTACTCACCTGCGGCCTTTTCAAACACATTATCAACAATCACTTGATTGAAATTTTGGATTGGTAACTTCTCTTTGTATGGAGATATGACGGTGACATTATGCCCTCTGCTCACTAATTCTTTAACAATTCTATCGCCCAGTTGAAAATGGCTGTGGGCCGGAAATGGGAAGACGCCCAAAATTTGAGCAGCTTCTATATGAAAGTCGACGTACAAGAAAAGAAGTGTTGTTAGGTGCACGTTCATTGTGTTGTTATAACTGTTGTTTGGCACTTCATAAGTATAACCTTGTATGATAATGAGAGGTCATTTATCAATTGCTAACGGCAATTATTGGTGCGATTATGGGAATAATTAGTTAATTAATGCCAAAGGTTACAAAATTAATACAATTTTTCTAGTTTCTAAGGTATCACATAGTTTTATAAAATGGTCTGAAACCTGCACTTATTTCGGCCGAGATTGTTCTGTATGGTTCTGAATAAACATTGGAATATTATTCACGTAGGTGCTGACTAAAATTTTTGCGCATGCACAGCACCTCACCTCTTCTTCCTTACTATAATGAAAAAAAATTAACTTTTTTGGAAGCTACTCGACTAAAACGTAGACCAACTCCTTAATTTTAGCACAAAATGTATTCCCTGTTTTGTAGTAAACTTGTTGCTTCTTTGTTAGTGCAATTTTCTGTTCCCACCGTGAAATTTGAAAATAAATGTTTGGGAACAGTATACATCTTTGGGCGAGTAAGTAAAAGGAAATGATACCCTCGATTTGTATTTGCACTTATATTTTTGCAGCAGATGCAGATGCTAAATTGATATTTTAATAGGTTTGAATGAGTGCGTGTGTAACTTTAACGGCAAGGGTAGATAAAGTGAAACAAATCATTGTGCATACCAATAACATCTGTTATTCTTATTAAAAATGGGACGCGCAGTACAATATAAAATGACGTTCAGGACATATGACAATGCTGTTTCCATGGAAACGGCGGGAGAACGTAAGCTTGCTATTTTGGACGTCTAAATTAAATACCTTTGGCTTTTGCTATAAAATGAAGTTTTGTATCATACATGACGATAAAGGGAAGCTAACCATCTCGTGAATGTTAATTCACTTGATGGTTAAAACAGATTTTTGTCGTCTTGTATAATAAATAACTATTATGAGTAGTTACGAAAAAAAACTTCATCATGTCTTTCTTGCCATTATGGCAAAGGTGATATTGTTTACCTTGTTTAGTACCTGATTGTGAAAGGGAAGGGAAATTATGTTGATTTAATATAAAGGTGATTGTATCTTGAGATTTCGTTTTAATAGTGTTTGAGCTAGATTTTAAAACGGTAGAATAAACTCCAATAATAAGAAAGCATACAATTTCGGATTATTAGTCGAAATATTTGTCTCAAAATTAAGGGTAGATGGGAACACGGTAGGTAAGATGGAGCACGAAACAGTTGTAGGAAAGATTCAAAACAATAAAATTCATATAATTGACATTTTTATAAAAACAGGTATATAAATTCTAAATAATTACGCACCAATTGACCATACTAAATATAAACACGAATTTTTAAAAATATCTTCCTGTTTCTAATATCACATCTTTCATAAATAGTTTTAAGCGCCTAACTAACACTTAAGTATTACAAACGCGGTTTAATTTTCAATTCGCAAATCGGTTCGATGAGTGGTGCGGTATCGGCGCCCCTCGCTAGGGTTGGCGATTTCATTTCGATGGTCCACGGTTCTAATAGTTGCGACGGATGTTCGAATTTCACAGATTTTCTTGGACCGAGTCTTGTTGCCGTCGGTGTCGGTGACGCTTCTTCGGTTGCAAGGGAAGTGCGTGGACCTGTGCCCGTTGGACTTTGGGTTGGTGTGGGCCGTGTTTCGAGATATGTCACTGGTTTACGAGCGCTTGCGAAACTAGTAGCAGTCCCTTGGGTGCTGTAGTGGATACTTGGTATCTAAAACATAAATTGGGATAAGCGCAAATAGTAAACGGTTTCGGTGGTAACAAAAAACTACGATTTTTAAGATCTATAAAAAAGGGAAAATGCACTAGAACTGTAGGTTAGCCATATCCGGGACCCAGTTATGACACCGACGACAAGCTGCCATTTCCTAAAATTTTCAGTTGAACTAAATTTGTGCAATATGATGAATTCCAAACAGTGCTGCAATTTAATATTGAAAGTAAAAATACCTTAAACCTTAGCTTAACATATTATATACAGTGATATTGATTAAGAAGTAGACATAGGGATTTACGTGCATTGTTTTTCCCTATACCTACTTTTAAAAACCGCTTTTTTGGTTTCTGTATTTTTATTTTCGTTCGTGAGCGATGTAGTCAACCGAATAAAAAGTTGGTACTGTCAATTGGTATAGTGCTAGTAAAAGTTTAAGGAGAGTAAGAGATTTATTTTCTGTGAAGCCAAGATAACAATATTCAAATTAATTAATATGACACTAGGTTTTATTTGTTTTAAAAAGTTATTTTGGCTGAATAAAATTAGGCAGCCTTCAGAAGATATCTTGTCATTTAAAGGTAGACACAGGAAAAAACAATACACATAAATCCCTATGTATACTTCTACATCTACTTCTTAATAAATATCATTGTATACCTAAATTCTCTAATGCCGTCGATGTGGTTCATTTAAAAGGTATAAAGTGGAATTGTACGAATGCATTTTCGGAAAAGAAATTATGTATCTTATTTGAATGCAAAATATATCAAACATTGTGTATAATTGTTTCCCCAAGCAGGGCCGTTTACCTAACGAAATTAGGCTATACCTCAATGTTATAGGCATTTCCAGTGCAAAAGCAATTCTAAAACTTTGTCTATGTCCCTTACACACAACAATCAATTTAATCGATTGCACATGACATAAATACATGAAAATTGTACATGCAAAATTTATTGACTGTTCTCCTGCAATAAACAACCTAGAAGAATTACTTGGAACCATGCTGGAAAAAATACAGAATATACACTGCTGTTATTTCGGTAGAAACACCAACAATAATGACAGGACACCGTGCATATGAGAATTTTGTTTTAATTGTTTTATGTGTTTTGGAATAATCATCATTGTCAATCAATTAATTGTGTGGTTATTCAAATTCATTGTACGACCCCGATAGAGTTTTTCATGTCAGGTTTTTCTTTTCGTGTCCAACAATTACGGCAGGTGTTAACGTAAATTGTGTAGTTAATTCTTTGGAAATTGATCGAAGCCGGTGTGGTGACCGCATGCCATTGCATACAGCAATACTTATCTGTGATCTTATCGTTTGTATGGAACATTCACTCCAAACTTTTAGGGTACAATGGGCTTTGGGGGGAGGGGGATTTTTCGAGTGAAAATTGTCCGGGTGCGACCTATGCGGGAGCGAAATGTTAAGGATGCAAAATATACTGTGAGCAAAAGTTCGGGCTACAAATGATCAAGGTACGAATTATTCCAGAACGAATTACCTGGGTACGAACTGTTAGTTTAAAATAAAAATTTATTTTAGTAACTGAAAATTATAATTCAGTTATGAAAGAGTACCAATTTTGATGAACACCCGGTACCTTGAGGAACTCAAACGGGTACTTCGTTACTAGAAACTGTAGCTTTTGAACCCAACTTTTTACTAGGATAATGTAAAACTAATTCCTTTGATTCCTAGCGTCGTGTTTTAGTCGCCGATAAGGACCACCAGCTACCAAACATGATTGTGAAGTTTCTAATTGTTTCCGACAGCCCTTTTGCCATTCACTAGAAATTCCAGGTAACAATTGGCATTACTGGAGTACCAAATTTTGGAATTTTAATTCGGCCTAGTGTCACTAGAAGCGCGTTTAATCAACATGAATTTCAAGATTAGTCTCCGATTTTTGGGACACTCCGAGTTCCATATCTAGATCTTTTTGGGAAATCTATATAAGGTAACAGCATGATTTAGAGGGGATTTTTTGCATTTTTCGCGTACGATATAGGCGGTTCAAGGTATAAGTGCCTGAGATTTTCACTCCGTTCATTATAAAGGGAGTTCGTTTTCCTGGTTTCGTTTTGCCGTAGCTATAGTAAATACCGTTAGTTGATTTGTACTTCCGTTCCCGCTTTGGTAAAGCGTTACTGTTGCATCGTGCCGTCATTCTGTTTTAGATTTTCGCCAGTGACGCTCGCCATTTGCCCGCATGATATTTGGAGCTTTCCGTTTCTCCGTTCTCCGTTCCGCGAACCGACCGTTGATCAGAAGCGAGGGTTGAAATCTCATGGTGGCGCCCGAGAGAATTCCAGCAACCTAACGAGAATACCGCACCGTCCTGCCGACTACCGACGATTCGTAACATATTTCAAATTATCGGCATAGAATTGTTATTAATTTATTTTGCGAATTAAAATTAATCTCTTGGGATTCGACTAATTTCTTCTCCGATTCATTTACATGCAGCAGTGTGACTTCCCGGCTACCGAACGGAGACGTATCCTTGGTTATACCAAGTCGTGCTAGGCATAAAAAGCAAAAGTATACATACAACAAAAAAACAAGAACAACTAGTGCAATACAACAAAAAAGAAAGAAAAAAAACTTTATTGGCGCCTTTGGAGGGATGATATGTGTAGATTTATTATCAATCGGAATATTTAGCAATACTTAAGCATCTTTTAATTGGTCTTGATCGCCTCCAATATACTTTTCTCCAAGGAAGCCTCCCAAGTGTCAGAATTAATTTTTTTTAAGGGATGATATGTGTAGATTTTGCATCAATATAACATGTGAATAGTTCCTACTTAGGCATCACTTAAATTCTCAGTACGTTCCCCTATGAAGGGTGTTCGAGTGTGAATGAAAGCAACTTATTAGAGCCTTTGAATGGAAAATTATACGTCTAGATTAATTATTAATTAGACAGTTCCTACTTAAGCATTCTTTAAATGGTCTTGATCGTACCAACCACTTTTCCCTAAGAAATGCGCCTAAAGTTGGGACGCTCAGTGAAGATTACCTTTAAGCATTTTGTAATTAAATTTTTACCACTGTAATTCAATGGAGGAACAGACAGTATGTTGTGGGAAGATTTATCCTTGCATAATTACCTGCTGAATTCAATTCAAGTTGTTTTTTGAGTATGCTCTTTCTCATACTCCAAAAATGTTGCGAAAATCCCGACCCACGATTGGCGTATCCCTAAACGACGGTGCGATAAGAGTTCCTCAACGTATTTTGGGATTGGTGATCTTTAAATTCGAAAATAGGGATACGTCGACGGCAGAATTAGATGCGAGAATACGATTAGGTATACCTATTTGCCATTATGCTTTATGAGAAGAAATGAAAGAAGACACTCAACTTCAAGCGTTTTAGGTGAATGGATTTAACCCGAGATTCAACCCTCGCCGAACCGCCCGTCTTCACACATCTCTCTGTCACAGGTCAATAGAACAATTGATGCGAAAACAAACATTATAGTTTGAACATACTACCCTAATTCCCGAAGGAATTTCAGGTGAAACTACGAGGGTTGTCCAGAAAGTAACAGACGTTTTGAAAAGAAAATCTTTTATTATACCTATTGTATTTGTAGGAATTAAACGTTGAAAAGTAATTGTATGACAAGACAAGTTTTATTTATATTGAAGTTATTCATTAATTGTTTTTATACACATGCTATTTTAGCCAATTAAATTATATAATCGCATAAGTTTAAATGTAATCACAACAACTCCTCCCCAACTTATAAATTTAAACGATCAGGAGGACGACGTACACGGTTAGAACGGCGTAGCTGTGGTAAAGTATTCTCTTCATTTGTAGGTACACTGGCCGTTATGTCCAACGTAGGTGTATTTATTTCTGGATCAGGTAAAGTTTCGGGTAAGGTTGTAACATCAGGATGATTGTTAGAGGGGTCATAAGGAATATCATCATTTTGAGGAGCGTCTCGCGGAGTAGCACCCCAATTCTGCGTAACTGATCAACGTATCTCTTCCAAACATTACCATTATCAAGCTTAACATGATAGTGTAATTTCCCTAACTTTTTATCAACATTTCCAAATTTCCATTGGATATCGTTTGCATAGTTTCTTACAGCAACTCCGTCATTAATTTGGAAATCTCGAACTGGTATATTATTACGAATTGCAGTAGCATTTTTATTTAAATCGGGTTTAATTAAATCCAATCGGGATGTAATTTCACGTCCGAACATTAACATTGAAGGTGATTGTTTGGTAATACTATGAGACATTTTGCGATATTGTAAAAGTAATCTACATAATTCTTTTTCAACATCAGAACTATTACCATTAATTGCGCGTAATGATTGCTGTAATGTTTGAACGTATCGTTCTGCCAACCCATTTGTCGCAGGATGGTATGGCGCACTTAAATTATGTTTAATTCCGTTTTGTTTAAGAAAACTTTCAAAAGCGTAAGATACAAAATTTCTGCCATTATCACTCACCAGTACACGCGGTATGCCAAAACGACTAAATATTTCTCGGCATGTTTTTATGGTAGTTATTGGTAGTCATATCTTTTGTAACATAAACTTCGGGCCATCGTGAATACGCATCAACTAAAATAAAATAATAATGACCATAAAATGGACCTGCATAGTCGACATGTACACGATGAAATGGTTTATGAACACTTTCCCATGAATGCACTGGTACTACTGTAGAATTATGCTTAATTTGATTGCAGTTAGCACAATTCTTTACTAACGTTTCAATATCGTTGTCTATACCAGGCCACCAGCAATAACTACGTGCTAAACCTTTCATTTTGTAAATACCAAAATGTGCAGGGTGTAACTCATCTAAAATTTGTTTTTGTAAAATTTTAGGTATTATTACTCTTTGACCTCGCAAAATACATTCTTGTTGTATGGTGAATTCGTTTTGATCAATATTGAAACGTAGTTTACTATCAATCACTTTACCAGTTTTTAATCCCATGAATAATGGTTGTAAATTCTTATCCATTTTAGTAGCTTGAGCTAGTTTACTAACTGTAACAGGTAGTGTTTCTATTTGACTTATTTCAGATATGTCTGATTCTTCAAAATCGTATAATTGTTCAGAATTAATTGGTAATCGAGACATGCAATCTCCATTACCATGTAACTTTGTATTCTTGTATCGAATATCGTATCTAAAAGCTGAATGGCTTCCTCCACATCTATAACATTTCACGCCACTAAAATTATAGGTTTTCTTGCTTGTATTGGATGTATTGAATTTGCCTTTCTTGGAATTGTATTTCATGTGTGGTCTGTTTATATCCACAGCTCCAATTGTACCGCTGTTTGAAACTCTCCCCTGTGTAATTGTACGGTGTCTCTCGCTGAAAGTTCAATTCCAACAGCAATTCCTATTGCTTTGTCCATTGTAAGGTCCTTTGTTTCAAGAAGTCTATTTTGTATTTTCTCACTCCGAATGCCAAACACGAATTGATTTCTCAGAGCCTTCTTTTGGTAATCTCCAAAGTTGCAATGAATTGCTAACTTCTGCAAAGCAGTGTAGAATTCCTGAATACCTTCGCCCTCGTGCTGTTTGCGTTGATGGAATCTAAAATTTTCTGCAATTTCCAAAGGGACAGGACTGTAGTAATCTTGTAAAAGTTTAACAACTTGATTGTATGTCTTGTCTGTAGGTTTGTTAGGTGAAAGCTTGTCGCAAAGAAGATCGTATGTATCAGGTCCCATATAATGTAGTAAGTATGGCAGTTTCTTATTCTCTTCAATTTGAAACACATCAAAAGCACCTTCCAATCGTTTCACTCAACTCTCCCATTGAAATCGAGAATTTTCAAACATTTCAATTTGAAAAATTATGCTTGTAGTCATTGTAGGTCGTCGTTTCTAATAATCCTCGTCGCCAATTTATTGTATTTGTAGGAATTAAACGTTTAAAAGTAATTGTATGACAAGACAAGTTTTATTTATATTGAAGTTATTCATTAATTGTTTTTATACACATGCTATTTTAGCCAATTAAATTATATAATCGCATAAGTTTAAATGTAATCACAACAATACCTATACATTTGGGAGCTAATCCGCCGCCTGAGATTGTAATCTGCACTGGGTAACGTCCACAAGAAGTTCGGCGTCCGCTGCGTTGTGAGTCAGGTCTTCGTCGCTGGGAAGAGGTGGAAGTTTTGTTTTTCGACAACGAACTGGACAGCTCTTGGATGATTTTGGATGGGAGATTTTTGACCACCCTCCGTACAGCTCGGATCTAGCGACTTCCACCTCTTCCCAGCGATGAAGATCTCGCTCCCAACACAGCACTTGGACAGTGATGCCGAACTTCAAGCCGGTGTTAACCAGTGGTTAAAGTCTCAGGCGGCGGATTTTGCAAAGTTAGAATCAAAACACCTGTACCACTCTATGACAAGTACCTCAATATGAATGGCGGCTATGTTGAAAAGTAGTCTAAGAGTGTAGTTTCCAAATGTACGAGTATATAATAAAAGTTGTTTCTTACACTTTCTAATTCTATTCTTTATTTCAAAACGTCTGTTACTTTCTGGATAGAGTCATAATAATCATTTATTTCAAGTTGGTTTAAAATTTTCAGAAATACATTTTCTAACTGCTAGTGGACTTGTAATTTCTGGCATATGCTCCTCGCAGTAAGTAACCGATCTCTTGAAGTCATCTCGCCTCCTCTTAATCACAAAACCGTCGTCAACACACATTCGCGAAATTCTCCATGCCAAGCTACTCGACTCCCTAATTGTAGAAAAACGTATACTTCCGTCGCCAGCTAACCAATTCCACTTAGCCCAAACGCATGCCAAATATTCCCCGAACTTTGGATTGTTCGAATCACGTGTATAAAACTGGTAAACCGACGGTGCATCCAATTCTAATGGTGCAGCGCAGGCTTCTTCCTCTTCATTCAAAACGTTCATGCAGCTACCGTCAATCTATCGGAAAAGGTTTGAGTGACAAAAATGGTTTGAGCGACATTACCTGCGATATGACAGCAAAGAGGACCAGTACAGCAGCAATCATCGTTGACTATTATTGGAGACCGTGTCAGACGAAATTATTTATATAGTTTTGATAACGGGTTATTATCACAAGAAAAGCGATATTTACAAACTTGTGCAATACTGACCGAAATGTAAACGATTTTTTTCAATAAGTATTTTTGATATTTATTGTGTTATTTACTGATACAAGATTTTTACATCAAATAACCTCGAAAATCTGCGATCTTCTGTGATGTACAGTAATCTGAAGCGAATACAGAAAGGCTTAATTAGTTTTTCGCTTTTACTGCTATTAATACTTCTTGAGTAAATTACGCAATCATCGTTGACTATTATTGGAGACCGTGTCAGACGAAATTATTTATATAGTTTTGATAACGGGTTATTATCACAAGAAAAGCGATATTTACAAACTTGTGCAATACTGACCGAAATGTAAACGATTTTTTTCAATAAGTATTTTTGATATTTATTGTGTTATTTACTGTTACAAGATTTTTACATCAAATAACCTCGAAAATCTGCGATCTTCTGTGATGTACAGTAATCTGAAGCGAATACAGAAAGGCTTAATTAGTTTTTCGCTTTTACTGCTATTAATACTTCTTGAGTAAATTACTTGTTGAGTTTTTCAATTCGTCAAAACTTCTTATCCAGTTGAACTCTTCAATAATACGTGTCCTCTCATCTTTTTACAAATTACAATGTACACCTACAATAGTATATTGAAAGACAAGTGTTACAATGCGACCTATTGTAATACGACTATCTTGTGGCACGAGTGGCGACGCGAAGCGTAGCCACGAGTGTCCGCAAAGTAGGAGTATTACAATAAAGCATTGTAACACGCGTTTTTCATACTATTTTTTCTATTTCGGTGCTTCAATTTAATTAAAAAAATCATTATCAGAAACTATAGGGAACACTAGAACTAACATGTTTTATGTTGGGAACACTTTTTATGCCGTTAAGTTTTAGGTTGGCAGCGTAGTAAGACTGACATTTTGAAGTTCAAACATGGAAGTACCCAACGAAGTACCTACTTGTACTAACTAGTAACTGCCAACTTCAGAGATGAGTTACCAAAAAAAACGACTATAATCACTGTCTTTGTGCAACTGTTTTCGGCCGAAAACAGTTGTACAAAATCGTCATTGTGACACCGAAATAGAAAAAAGCTATTAAAACCAAGTTCCTTTAAAAACCTTAAAGGATATCTTTCCAGCTTGAGGATAATATAATTAAAACGTCTTTTACCCATTAACCCACAGATTTTGACCAAAGTCCTTGATAAATAGTTCCCCACAATTTCAGACAAATTTACATCTATACAGATCATCCCTTTACATAAACTCGTGATTATTATATTACGACACGTTTCCAATATACAATGGAAGCTCTAAAATGAAATTCGGCTATAGGTACAGGAACAACAAATTAATTTCCATTCTGCACTTATTTAGGGTGGCAAGCCCTTGATAGTGACGGGCATGTTATTGGCATTGATTTTAATTCAAAATGGAATTTTATTTAATTACTTGCGATCGTCTACTTGACATCTTCCATTTTCATCGATCTCCTATAGCCAGGGGAAAATTCGCAGACCCGTACTCCCTATAAGAAACTTTATTAAGGTTCAGTTGGTGTAGATTTCGGAAGGCTGAGGATTTCTTTGACGGCACGTCGATGTCTTCGAGAAAGTTTTGGGCAATTTGTTCAGTGCATCGGATAGACGACAGTGGGCCAGATGTATTGGTTTAAAATTGTCAATTTCTGCTCAGGTCGGAGTAAACTTGATGAAACCAACTTGTCTATATTTTTGGCCAGATTACGAATTATAGCGGTGAGATTTAGGAGAACAAAAATTACATGGAGAACCAAGTATCCCCTCCAAAGAGTCGTATCAGTGCCCAAACGAGAGTTCCAGCATGAAGCATTCGAGAATTTCCATAACAGAAAACAGCGTAATGGACACACCTTAAGGGGTGTCTGAAGCGAATAATTGACTTCTTGAGTAAATTTAATTCGCCAAAACTTTCTTATCCACTTACACTGCTTCTGCAGGTCAGAAGAAATACATTCTTCTGGTCCTGATACAGATCTATGCCTGCACTCTTCAATGATACTTGTCTCTTATGTTTTTATTCTTACGATGTATACAAAAGTTATTAAAAGGAAATCCATTAAAGGATTTTCGAGCTTGAGGATAATATAATTAAAACGTCTTTAATCTATTTACCCACACACTTTGCTCAAAGTCCTTGATAAATAATTCCCCACAATTTCAGATAAGTTTACATCTATACAGATCATCCCTGTACATTAACTCGTAATTATTATATTACAACGCGTTTCCGCACACAATGGAAGCCCTAAAATGTAATTCACTATAGTTACAGGAACAACAAATTAATTTCCATTCTGTATTTATCTAGAGTGAAAGCCCTTGATCTTATAGTTATTAGCATATTACTGGAGATTGATTTTAATTCCAAGTTGAATTAAATTTAATTACTTGCTCGATCGTTTCCTTATATCTTCCGTTGCTAAGAGCACGTGTCAAGGGGAAAATTATCCCTGTAAGATAACTAAACGTTTTAAGTGAAATTTTCATTTTCTGGATTCGTGTTTGCGCCATAACAGGTTTTTTGATAGCTGAAGGTACTTTATTAATCACTAGGGGTGTTGCGTATGCAGATTGTAGAGAGACTGCTGTAAATAAGTAAAATTTGTTATCGATGCCAAATTGGAAAGCGTACACGCTGTGAACACTTTTTAATATAAAATATAACACATATATCAAGCCGAACATCAGGATCATATCTAGCCGAAGAAGCTATAGAAAGAAGGAAAGGGGAGCATGTAAAGCAAATTATAAGAAAAAATAAGTTTCTGAAGTTAGCTTAGGAAGGGGTATTACGATTGACGAATATAACAATTGAGAAAATCTCTTTGATTTAAAAGAAGTTGATGGTTGATCAGCTGCGTTTAAATGTTCAAAAGGCACCTTGTTAAATCATCTACCGATACCACTACCCGTGAATTACAAGATTTAACCGATACAATTATAATTAGCGCATTTCCCAAGTAATGTTTGAAGGCGCTATTATGACCACTATCTCCATTCTCCGTCAATCCGCCCGAGGGACATGAGGTGAGTTAATTCCTCATAATAACGTCGCGGCTTCTCCACAACTCCTCCTTGACATGTGTAAATGACCCTTGTTTCTCTAATTGTTGAAGCTATTTGTTCAGTACGAACTATCTCCTTCCTTACGAAAGTTACAACCCCTGCAAACTAAGTATGCTGTAAGTGATAGTTTGAAATACTTAAAAAATTGGGCAAGCTTAAAGCGTACGGAAATTTATTATTAGAGAGAAGTTTAAGGGATGTTTATTCATTATTTAAACATAATCTATCAAAGAAATAAAAATATTCGCTGTATTACAAAAGTCACAACCCCCGCAAGCTAAGTGTGCTCCACGTCCGAATTTGAATGACTTGAAAAACAGGGCAAGTTTAAAGCATACGGAAATTTATTATTAGAGGGAAGTGTAAGGGTTGTTTACACATTATTTAAACATAATCTGTCAAAGAAATAAAAAAGTTCGGTGAATTACAAAAGTTACAACCCCCTGCAATCTAAGAATACTGTACGTGCTATTTTGAATTACTTGAAAAATTGGGCAAGTTTAAAGCATACAGAAATTTATTATTAGAGGGAAGTTTAAGGGTTGTTTATACATTATTTAAACATAATCTGTCAAATAAATGAAAATGTTCAGTGAATTACAAAAGTTACAACCCCCTGCAATCTAAGGATGCTGTAGGTACGTGCTATTTTGAATTACTTGAAAAATTGGCCAAGCTTAAAGCATACGGAAATTTATTATTAGAGGGAAGTTTAAGGGTTGTTTATACATTATTTAAATATAATCTGTAAAAGAATCAATAATGTTCACTGTATTACAAAAGTTACAACCCCCGCAAGCTAAGTGTGCTCTACGTCCGAATTTGAATGACTTGAAAAACAGGGCAAGCTTAAAGCATACTGAAATTCATTACTAGAGGGAAGTTTAAGGGTTTTTTATACATAATCTGTCAAAAAAATAAATATTTTCGGTGAATTACAAGTTACAACCCCCGCAATCTAAGTATGCTGTACGTGCTATTTTGAATTACTTGAAAAATTGGGCAAGCTTAAAGCATACGGAAACTTATTGTTAACGGGCAGTTTAAGGGTTGTTTATACATTATTTAAACATAGTCTGTCAAAGAAACATAAATATTCGCTGTAATACGAAAGTTACAACTCCCGCAATCTAAGTTTGCTGTACGTGCTATTTTGAATTACTTGAAAAATTGGCCAATCCTAAAGCATACGGAAATTTATTATTAGAGGGAAGTTTAAGGGTTGTTTATACATTATTTAAAAATAATCTGTCAAAAAAATAAAAATTTTCGGTGAATTACAAAAGTTACAACCCCCGCAATCTAAGTATGCTGTACGTGCTATTTTGAATTACTTGAAAAATTGGGCAAGCTTAAAGCATACTGAAATTTATTTTTAAAGGGCAATTTAAGGGTTGTTTATACATTATTTAAACATAATCAGTCAAAGAAACATAAATATTCGCTGTATTAGGAAAGTTACAACCCCCGCAATCTAAGAATGCTGTACGTGCTATTTTGAATTACTTGAAATATTGGCCAATCCTAAAGCATACGGAAATTTATTATTAGAGGGAAGTTTAAGGGTTGTTTATACATTATTTAAACATAATCTGTCAAAAAAATAAAAATTTTCGGTGAATTACAAAAGTTACAACCCCCGCAATCTAAGTATGCTGTACGTGCTATTTTGAATTACTTGAAAAATTGGGCAAGCTTAAAGCATACTGAAATTTATTATTAACGGGCAGTTTAAGGGATGTTTATACATTATTTAAACTAATCTGTAAAAGATATAACAATGTTTGGTGAATTACAAAAGTTACAACCCCTGCAATGTAAGTATACTGTACGTGCTATTTTGAATTACTTGAAAAATTGGCCAAGCTTTAAGCATACGGAAATTTAATATTAAAGGGCAGTTTAAGGGATGTTTATACCTTATTTGAACATAATCTGTAAAAGATACATAAATATTCGCTGTATTACGAAAGTTACAACCCCCGCAATCTAAGAATGCTGTACGTGCTATTTTGTAATTACTTGAAAAATTGGGCAAGCTTAAAGCATACGGAAACTTATTATTAACGGGCAGTTTAAGGGTTGTTTATACATTATTTAAACATAGTCTGTCAAAGAAACATAAATATTCGCTGTAATACGAAAGTTACAACTCCCGCAATCTAAGTTTGCTGTACGTGCTATTTTGAATTACTTGAAAAATTGGCCAATCCTAAAGCATACGGAAATTTATTATTAGAGGGAAGTTTAAGGGTTGTTTATACATTATTTAAAAATAATCTGTCAAAAAAATAACAATTTTCGGTGAATTACAAAAGTTACAACCCCCGCAATCTAAGTATGCTATACGTGCTATTTTGAATTACTTGAAAAATTGGGCAAGCTTAAAGCATACTGAAATTTATTTTTAAAGGGCAATTTAAGGGTTGTTTATACATTATTTAAACATAATCAGTCAAAGAAACATAAATATTCGCTGTATTAGGAAAGTTACAACCCCCGCAATCTAAGTATACTGTAAGTGATAGTTTGAATTACTTTGAAAAATTGGGCAAACTTAAAGCGCACGGACATTTTTTATTAAAGGGCAATTTAAGGGTTGTTTATACATTATTTAAACATAATCTATCAAAGAAACAAAAATATTCGCTGTATTACAAAAGTTACAACCCCCGCAATCAAGCATAAAGCATACGGAAATTTGTTATTAAAGGGTAGTTCCTTCCGAAATCGCTGTTGAACCTTCTGCTTCTTCTTGCATTAAATTGTATGGTTCAGAGGCCTTCTGCTTTCTTCAGATCAGGAAAAATTCCTATTTTAGAGTGCCTAATGAAAGGATGTAGATCGCCGTCTGTGACCCGTTAGTCGTTCGTTTATGGTGGTAGCAACGGTGGCCAGACAAATCCTCATCTGATCATAATTTTGATACCGCCCTCCTGGAGTTCCCTTGTGTCCATGATACGGTGTAAGTCATGAATTAGAGCTGTGACAAATGGGTGCCTTTTTGGTAACAAGATAGGGGAAATGAAATCCTTCTTGTCTTCTCTACACCAAATTCGGGTTTCCACGCGAATGATGGGAGTCACGCTCCACATTCAACCGTTCCAGTTTATCTGTTACATCGGTGAAAGCTTCTTGTTGAAGAGGCCTCAGCTCAGCTCGTACACTTCCTCCGGTCGTAACTCAAAAATTGATAAAGAAGGCAGTCCAACCGTGGATCACAAGAATCCTTCGATAAGACGACGATTCCACCATCATCTGACTTTCTAACCTTATCCTAAGGTTACATGCTGATTTTTTTCTTCAATTTCTTCTTCTTTATAACTGGCCAACCATTAAAAGGTCGGAACAACCACTCAGGACTCTCCCACCATCTGGATCCAATAAATGAATGAGGGGTGCATCCTCTCGAAGGCAAGTCTGCTGGACCTGCGATATGGCAATTAAGTTATTACCTACGCATCCACAGACTTGCATTAATTACTTGTGACCCAATTCTCCTGAAATTTTAGCGTAAGGAACGCAAATTGATATCATGTGTGATTGTGTCAATGGGTCACTAATTTTGTCGGACGAAAACTGTTAATGTGGAAATGCGCTTTTTATAAGTCGTGTACGATTACTTTTTTAACTTGTTGGAATTTTGCTTTGTGGATCTAATCTTTTGCACTGTTATTTTAAAAGGTTCAAGGTTAAAACTTACATATGGCAATTTTAGGTTCATGTGCATGCAATCAATGCTAACCTTTTGAAACTGATCTTAAAATTGACACACAATTCGATTCCAGTGAATGTCTTTAGAACCCAATAAGTCCTCAAAATTGAACAATAAATTGATGCCTATAATTGAAGTGATAGTTTGCAAAGTGGTTTTAGTGAAGTAACCGTTTGAAATACGAAGCTTCATAACAAATACGACATACCTTGAAATTAGATATAAGGAGCTTTTGAAAGTCGTAATTCGAAACACGATTCTCTAGACTCTCGCAAATAGTTGTAGTTAATCTGTGCAAACAGTCTCACTTACACTGCTCATTTGCACGTTTAGTAAAATTATCACCACTTACAAGCGTTAGCTTACTAAATCCGAGGGCAATTGAAATCACTTGGCAAAATTTAATAGTTTCTCGCTCAAAGGAGCGCTTTTATGAAGTGCATGCAGATAGATTTGTCAGTATAGACTTTGGCGCAATCAGGACATTTTACCCTTTATTAAGCGGCAGAGCAAAGCGATGCAAGCTTTATAGAGAAGTCGATGGTGTCCGTCTGTCCGTGACCACGATAGCTGCCAAACGCCTTGCACCGATTTGGTTCAAACTTGGTCGATCTATACACGGTGTCCATTTTTCGAGTGCCACTATGGGGATCTCGCTTACCTTAAGAGATAGAAAGTTGGTTAAATGGGGGCAAAGTTGCCAATTTCCTTGCTGAATAACCATCTGAAAAGAAATTTAAAATATCATCAATAGTTTTGAAAATATCACAAAAAAACGAAACTTTCTGATTTTCGTTTTTAATTTTGTATGATAAACTAGTCGTGCTAGACATTTCTAATTAACACATTATTCGAACACTTTTCAATGGAGATTTCGAATGTGACATCTCGGTTTAAATAACTTTTAAGATGACAGAGAAACACGTGGCAACAAAACATTTATTTAGGGCAAAATACAGTTTTAATGCACTTTCTACTCGATAGTTAATTTCTGGTTCATTATTACTTGTAGCATCCATTATTACACCTAGATATTTAAAATGTTTCACTTGTTCTATTTTTGTACCACTGATATTTATGTTCATGTTTAGTTTTTCAGATGTTAAAGCCATTACTTTTGTTTTTGCTGTGTTTATCTTCATACCACTGTTTTCCAATTGTTGGTTCCATACTGTTAGATTATGTTGGAGATCTTTCTCAGTGTCTGCCAATATAGCTATATCATCTGCAAATGCACAGTGTGATATAAGTACTCTATTCATATTCTTGCAAAACTATTGAAGATATTATAAATTTCTTTTTAGATTATTATTCAGCAGGAAAATTCGCAACTTTGTCCTAATTTAACCAAGTTTCTATCTCTTAAGATAAGCGAGATCCCCATAGTGGCACTCGAAAAATGGACACCGTGTATACCATATGTAACAAGTCTATTTAAAATGGGTCAAATACAATGACCCCGTAAGGTCATGCCTCTCTGTCTCTGGCAAATGCTTGAACCAATTCGCTTAAAACTTTGCACAGCTGATGCCACATGTAACAAGCCTATTGAAAATGGGTCAAATCCAATGTCCCCGTGGAAATGGAGTTACAATCCAAGAAATTTCTGAAAAATGCTTTTAAGATGAAGGACATTGGTGAAGCAGATCATACTCTTGGGACAAAAATTACGCGTAATAAAGGAGCTGGGAAGTTATGGATTGATCAAGAGGGTCACCTACGAGAAATTTTGAAGAGGTTCTACATGGAAGAATGTCAATGCAAAATTGTCCAAGGAGCTTTTATCAAAGATGAAGATGAAGATGAAAAAAATTAATAATTTGGTAACGTTGACAAAACCCCAAATAAGTGGATAGGTTTCCACGCAGAGGTTAAAAAATGACATCGAAACAACTAAATATATACTGGGTGTAATCCATTAAATTTTTTACCAGGAATGAGCTAGGGAAGACCGACACACTGTTGCAGGACCCTGTGTAACATTTATTGTTCATTTCTCGCGCAAAGTTTAATTGCAAAATAGAAAAATTAAGATGTGGGTCGGAGGGGACTATGCATCAGATTCTTTTAGGGAATTTTGCGTGGAAATGGGTATTAACATCCAGTATAATATAGTGTACAATCCAGAGCAAAACTGTTTTTTTTGTGAAATTGCCCCCCCTCCCCCGGCCCCCAAATTTGTTTTTTCAATATCTTTTTTTTAGAGAAATGTGCAAACGAAAAATCGAAGGGTGCCTAAATGTGCCATCAATGTGCAAACGAAGGAAGTTTCATTATCTTAATAACTTCACGCGGGTAAAAATTCGTTTTATGAGCTTTGTGAGATGACAAGAGTAATTGAATAATACCGTTTATGCACAGGAGAAGGCGTTGCGATTCTATAAGAAAGCTTTGACGATGAAATAAAATACTAAACGAAGAAACCGCTCAAAAAGCATTGATCTTTGGAAATTTTCGTAATATTTCACTATGGCTGCTACTGTTGAAAGCAATAAAGAAAAGCAAACAGAACAGTTACTTCCATTACACAGTAGATTTCTTGCACAGAGATTGGTACTTGTTTCCTAAATTTCTCTTTTAAGTTCGATCGACTACAAACTTTTAGATAATACAATTACAATTATTTGATTCAGTGGACCGACACATTTTGCTTAAAGCTATTGATAAGTAATTCCCTGAAATGTCAGATTAATTTACATTTATACCAGAGATCATCCCCTTACATAAATTCGTAATTAATATATTACAACGCGTTTCAGCACACAATGGAAGGCCTAACATGAAATTCAACTGTAGTTTAACAAATTAATTTCCATTCTGTACTTATTTAGGGTAAAAGCCCTCGATCTTATAGTTGAAAGCATATTATTAGATTGATTTAAATTACAAGTGGAATTTAATTTAATTACTTGCTCGATCGTCTACATGACATCCTCTATTCTTATCGGTCTCCTGGTACGTGTCAGGGAGAAAATTCGCAAACACGTAATGCTTGTAAGATACGTTTTAGGTTACATTATTAATTTTTCTATTTCGGTGTTACAATGGGAATTTTCTACAAATGTTTTGACCAAAAACAGTGTTATAATAATAACTATTTATGTAACAAGTTGCAAATTGGCTGTCTTTGGCGCACTAGACGTGTATTTGTCCAATGAGCGCATAGTGTTACTCTAGGCTACCAGTTTAAAATTTGTCAACATAAAAAGTGTTGCCAACTTAAAAAATGTTAATTTTAATGCTTCCTATTGTTTCTGATTATTATTCTTTTCACCCAAATAGAAAAAATAGCATGCATCATTATTATACTCCTATTCTGTGGACACTCGTGGCCTCGCATCGCTCCGCCACTCGTGCCACAAGGTAATCGTGTTCGGTGGCACTTTTCTTTTGTTTGCGCCCTACTAGTTGTTCGACGGGTGACTTTAAGAGGTAAGAGGCATTTTACTACGTTGGGTTAGTAGAGAAACTGTTGTAAATAATTAATGCTTGTTATCGAGACTAAATAAGAAGACAGGAAAGCTTCGGAAAGAATCGGGTTATCCATTAACTGTTTTAAAGTGATCAAACAGAATATTTTAATTTCGAACAGTCACTGCACAAAAACAAAGACAAATTGTCCCTGATGGATTACTCATAAATTAACCCCCCCATACATAATATTGGAAAAAACTACAAAGACAATTTAAATTACTTCCAACAGGTTTACATAAAATAAGGGTAACTTGAACACATCAACGATTTGATTTTAAATAAAAACTCAACTCAACGTACATGCAGTAAGCAAGCGACAAACTACTAGGGAAATATAATATGGAGTAACATTTACCATGGATCTCTTACCCTCTGGTTTTGTTCGTCGCACGCTCGTCCCCTACCAGCCCTTAACTCTTGATACTGCGATATCACACATAGTAAGGCGTATACCTAGGAAAAAAACACACACATAAGAATACATGGTATGGATGGAAATAGGGAAGATTTGACGTGATGCTTACGTTTAATGATCCCACAAAAAAGTCGAAGGTAAAGACTATGGCGCTAAGAGGATTTATCTTCATCTGGAAATGAAAAAACAAGGCTTGGATTTCAATTTTCCAAATATACCCACCAATGTTGTGCGTAATGTTTTACAGATCAAAACACTGCTATTAACCCCCACCCCTCCTGTTTATTTGAATTTTTGAGGATTATTACCTTAGACCTTTGAATAATAATTTGATTGGAGGAGAAATTACGCATCAAAACTTGTCGCAGAAAATTTACCTCCAAAACATCGTCCCTGAAACGTTTGCCTTATTGTAAACTCGTCCCCTAAATAGGTGTGGGCAAAAAAAATCCACCGAAAATTTCCACTTGTGTAATGTCATGATGAGGGAAACTAAACTAACATATTCGCCATCCCGAAAATTCACAAAAAATTCGTCACTATAACATTTTCGGTTAAATGATAAAATTTTGCTTTTGAAATATTATCCCCATACAGCTCCCCACGTAAATAAATTACCCTTTAGCTTAGAAGCTACCCTCCGTCATATCACAAAAAAACCCTTCTTTAGGTAAAGATAGCGAATATACACGCTACCGGAAAATTCACTTTTCAATACCTGCCCCCGGCATACCTTTCCTAAAAAATTCGAACACGAAAGCGTATCCACCGAACCTAGTAAACTTGAGGCCAGTTAAATTCGCTCCAGAAAATTCTCCCCTGGACTGTTTGTCACCGGAAAACTTCACCACAGGTATTGAAACTCACATCGGCAACTTCTGGGCCCAAAAAACGCATTCGCCCTCGATAAAAATTCATCAACATTTACTGGAATATTGATCTGAATTCAGGCAAAGGAAATTCACGGCCGAAATCTCAATGCGCACAAAAAAATTCGCGAGGAAATATTGAAGTACTATATTTATTTAGGGCCGCGTTAATTTCCGATTCAAGTACTGTCATTTTACGGACCAGTTTTCTATTAAACGAAATCGTATTTTTAATACAAAATTTCAATTTTCATACATAACTTTTTATTAATACGAATGTGTCAGTTCTGACTGGTGTCAGGTATAAAGTGACAGGTAGCAGGTAGTGTTATTACTACTGTCATGGAAACGAAAATTTCCTGATATAAAAGAGACATAAAAATGGAGGTTTCATGACAACCAGGAAAAACTTGTTTGCAGAATTCGTCATTGCAATGTACGCCCTCAAATTGGATTTGTAGTTCGGTACAAATAAATTATGACAAAATTTCATCGCAAATGATTCTTTTTGCATTATACTGTGAGAAATGTCTATTTTAATATATTCAAAATCCCGATTCATCGCGGCCCAGGAAATTAGTCAAAATCCATGATGGCGCCGAAATTTTTCAATAAAATTTGGCAAAAATGTTTAAAATACAAAGATAAAAGTATAAAAAACAATTATAGACATTACTTAATTTTATTTTCAAAATGGTGTTTTTTTTTTAATAATTCAACCCTAAATAGGTAGTTAGTTATTAAATGGCAGCCATTTTGAAAAAAATGTAATGAGTGGTAATTTTTTATGCCTAATTTGATCTTTGTAATTTAAGCATTAATGATAAATGAAAAATAGCAAATTCAGCCGCCATTTTTGACTGATTCCGGAGGACAGATGTAATAGGGATTATAATTTGTTAAAATAGACACTTTTCACCATAAAATGCAAAAATTTGTGTTGCAATTTTGCCCCGGCCAATGGAATTTTTATACCTATTTGACTGTACTATTTCCAAAAAAACACCGTCAGAAAATTTGGGTTTGCTTCGAATAAACTTCGCATCAAGAGTAAATTCGGTCTTGCTGAAATAATAACTCGGCAGAAAGGATCGCGCACCAAACTGAACATTAATATCTACAGTGTAGGAGAGTCCGGGGACTGGGGAGTAAAGTGAAGTAAGTAAAACTCCTGCTGAAAACCGACCTAAAAAGCAAATAAATCAAAAAGATTGCAAGAGCGGTTTCTTTGGACGATTCTCTTGGCTCGAACTTACCTCAGGTAAGCTTAAGGGCAGATATTCTGAAACAAGTTCGAAATCGAAATATACCTGCCTTCTAGGGGTAAATAGAAAGTAAAATAGATAACTTCTGAAAAAAATTCCGGGTCCAAAAGTTACCCATAAATTCAGGTAATTTTAGCATTTTTCTTTGGAATATTGGACATCAAGTAATGTCAGTAGCTTTTGGTGCCGTAATGCTTACTCAACCAAAAATTCCGAAGCAAACTGGACCGTTTCGAAATACGTTCTTACATGAATATCCGAAGAAAAGACCTAAGGCGGTTTTATTTTAAAATTTCCTTGAAACAAATTCGAATTTATCGGAGGCGAGCTTTGACAGTAGCCAATAAGTCGGGAGTGAGTCATGGATCTTCGATCCTTGAATCCTTGATTCAAGGCATCATTCATTATAAAAGTGGATATCTCTATGAAAACGTAACGACAATAAGTTGATTCGGGAATACTCAGTAACGTAGCCACCATGGGACCCTAAGTGAAATGAAAAGTGGCGTTTCGACTCGGTTTTATCAATGAAACGTTTGTAGTTTTGGCTATCCAGAGGTATAATTTGTTTAGGGGGTGCTATTCGAAATTTGAAATTGAAAAATGTGAATTTTGGTAAAGGTCAATCAAACATTTAATTGTTTTTGATAAAGTACCTAAAAAAATTATGTAACTGTGGCAGAGGTCTTAACCTATGCCTCAGTCCAAAACTTAGCCGCCTGTGCGATTTAGTTTTTCTCAAAAAAAATTTCGAAAAACTCTCAAATTTTGAAGAAAAAAGGTTATTACAGCGAAATCGTTAAGGTTAGGGGTATAACATGTTACATAAAAAAAATTAGTATTTTTCAAGTGGGTTCCAAATCAGTCATAAAATATGATTTAAAAAAACGCAAGTTTGATACGCCACTGAAATACAGCACGCCCCTGGTGATCAAAAATATTTTAGAAATATGGCGACGATACATGTGTACAATTTTGCTCCAATACTTTTGTCCGTATCTTTTATAGTAAAGAAATTATGATCCGAGGGGTCTTAGGTGCTACAACCTGTGTATAAGTTGAATTAGTCATTAACCTGATGAGCACAGAATTTTAAATTAGCAGCACAAATTAGGACAAAATAAGCATGTATAAGGGTGCAACAGCATCATTTGATAAGCATGAATAAAAGTAAGCAAATGCTTATACTTGCAAAATTCAAAGTAAATACTCGTAAGTGCTCCTTCGCACTGTGCGACTTCATTTGACTTTTTTCAAACAATGATTAGACAGTACCTATATTAGGGTGTTCGGGGTAAATCAAATATCATCAAAAAACTGCAATAAATGTTACTTTTACTATTGTTATTTTGGATTTCCATTTACGAATAAGATTTCATTGAAAAATTCCCCTTCTAAAAATCGGATCGGATTCTTCACATCTTGTTACAATTTTCGCAGTTGTAAACAAGATGGTGACAATTTTCGATTCTCATTCCCCAGTCGCAATTTGGCGTTACATTTTTCCCAATTTTACATGATCAAAAAATCCCTATTTGCTCCCACAAGTAAATTCGATCTTACGTATTCACGCAAAAGAAAATTCGCCGCCGGAATATTTCGTAAAACAAACATGCTTTAAAGGTAAATTCGACGAACACCTGTCAAGGAAATGTCAATCCAATTTTGATGAGATTTTTCTGAAGTCAGTTTCCTTGGGAGCAGGCGCGTTCTCAGGTTTAAATGTTGCGATCATATTTCTGTTGAAAATATTCCCTGGGGACAATTCGTCGGAGTCGAATATTTGAATTAATCTGAAGCGCGCTTTCTAGGTGCGGTAAATTTACCGCATGCGCCCAATTTATTTGAAACATTGTAGTCATAGTAAAATACAAGACGATAAGAAACGATGCATTCTTTCTGATGATGAGAGCATGAATTGTAGAAACGCGCTATTGTACATTGTGCATATTTCAATCGCCATGAACTGAAAGTATGTTTCATTGATTTACACGGCGCTTGTGTAGATATTCAATTACAAAGTACAGCACATTGATTTACCATCCGCATTACATATTAGCACAACTTGTCTATGACGACGATAAAATAGATGCTGTAATTAAAATGTAATGAAAAAAAACCTACCGTATGGTCGATGAAAATGTAGATGCAGTGTGCTATGTCGACCATAATAAAAACGGTCACTGTCGCCACCCATGGAATTAATAACGCCCTTTTATCCTGCAATATGAATATCCGTTAATTAAATGTCAGAGCAACTTTATTATGCTACAAAGTTTTCGAACAAAAAAAAGTTTCTTTTCATTTCGCTGAATCGCTAGCGATATTTTTCCATTTAATTCAGATTGGGGGGTCGTTAGCTTAAAGAAAATGTAGGTTAAAACGCAAAAAAATCGTAACGTAATAAATAAACCGAGGGGCATTAATTAAGCAACTTCTTTTTGTCCACTTTTTCGAGTCTAAATCTCGGAAGACTTACCATGTAAAGGCCGTAGAGTAGCACTAGTGACGTGAATATTCCGCACGACGATATCGTCAGTATTAGCACAGTAAAAATCATGGAAACTGAAAATTATACAGAAGTTGATTTCAGAATTTCAGGATGCTGATATAAGAAAACCCACTTACTTACTTGGAGACGTTGTATCGGGATCTAGAATGCTGTGCTGCGGTTCGTGCGTGAAATTGCTTTCTAAGTAGATTACATCTTCGTGCAGAAATTTTGACATCATTCCAGCGGCCACCGAAAAGTAAAACTGGAACAAGGAAACGACAATTAAAATTAGTTATCGCAATGGAAATGCGCGTTGTGCAATCGATAGTCATTACTATTCATGTCACCCAAAGCTAATCTGCACCACAGATGCATAGTAAAGCATATTTCACTACCGGAATACCCCAGTTCATATCTACAAAATTTCACAGATTAAAATTTTAAATTTCACATTTGATATGTGAAAAAGATGCTTCGTTTCAAAGAAAATTTATTGACACGTTTGAGAATAAATTTTCACGCAGGGAAAAAACCGAGTAATATAAAGAACCGTAACCGTGTTCCTGTGATTGTAATGACAGTTTCATTCCTTTGAGGCGAAGTCGAGAATAAAGTAATATGTAGGTAAATTGCAGATTCCAGGTTATTATCCGAAATTTAATACGTACAAATGGAGAAATGTTCACATTGTTTCTGCGAAGCTTAAATTTGATCAATTTATTGTCTTTTACCGCTTTTGGCGCTGAATAGGTATCGAAAAGTATATTTTAAATATAGGTAATAGGAAGTTACAAGAAGCCAAAAAGCATTGAACATTCAATGAATGTATATTGTGTAATTAAAAATACGGAAAATTGAACAACTCATAAAAGCTAACTAAAACTACAATCAAAAGAATGACAATCAATTCGTCATTGCGCTTTTTTTGTACCCAGTGAGAGCAAAATGTAATTTTTTTATTGTAATTCCAGAAGGCAACGACTCCCTGACAAATTTGTAGAAGAAGCGGTATCCGACGGAAAAATCCATTGTGCAGTCCATATTCTTCTGTCTATTTTTTATTTTATTTTTTATTTATTAAACCCACACAATGCTTTTTAGAGGTGCCCCTGCAGAAGGTCTTAAGTTGTTCTATACTACTCCGGTTTTTACCTTACGGATTAGGAAAACTGAAATGAAAAATCACGATCGCGAATCGGTTCACTACGCATTGTATCAGCCAGGAATAACCGCCCCTATCTTGTTGTTTGCCTACATCTCATCTATAGAACGACAATTTTTAGGTGAGGTGTTATTTATGTAAAGTAAGGGTTGTAAATCATTTGTGACTGAAGTTAAAAAAGTCTAAGTAAAATTTGAAATTGAATGTTCTTAAGGATACCCATCTCTGGGCAATTTAAAGCCGTTAGTATTGCATGTATTTTTACCATTATGAACCCATTAGAATTGGATAGAAAAAAGCACTTTTTCATTTACAGTTAGGGTCCATTATAATTATTATTAAGGTAACTTGTGTCTAAAAATACACAAAGACCGTGGCCACGAAAAAATTCTAAGGAAAGAGGACACTCAGGCACTCGATAATTAAAATAAAAAAGAAAATCTTAAATTAATTAGGCCCCGTTGTACAATGCTGGTTTAAACTTCAGATTAGTTTAACTGACAGATTTCAGAAACGCGATCGGTCAACTTGTGAAATATTAGCAAATCAAATCCTTTAACTCACAATTTAACTATTTAAACTGACACTGTACAACTGGACCTTAGAGTTTTTTTCTCTAATAATCCAAACAATATGGTCGTAAAAAGTTTGCGATGTTCAGACGTACTTATCAAAGACACAAAATCACTCGGTGACGGCTTCAGGAAACTACACTTTTTGTAAAAATTAAACTTAATTAAATGACTCAAACAGCCTTAATAAATAAGATGAAATAATTTTTGGGGGCTGCTCGGACGGTAGAAACTTTTAACGTTCACTAACCAGAGAACTACTTTATTTACTGACACTTGAATTAACTTCTTCTGAATATGGAAAAACCGTTTTAAAAACTTCACTTGACGATAACTTAATTTTTTTACTCCTCTTCTCGGAGTCCACAATCCTAGGATTGGTTGGACGCAGTTCTCCGCCCTTTCCTTCTTTCATTAAATCTTTATTTAAGATTGCTTAACTTTTTCTGTCCATTTTATTTCGTAACGGACACTGCGCCTTCAACAAAACAAAGAGGACTGACTGTCCTAAAAGTGCAATAAAGCTTTTGGAAATGAGGTGGAAAGTACTTATAGTACTGACTACTGGAGAACGTTTCTATTGCTTTTGAAACTGTCTCAACTGTTTTCTAAGGGACTCATTTTAGAGCTTTAGGGTGAAGATAATTTTTAAAACATCAAACGAAAGAACGTTTCGTCTTCGGATCTCATTATCCTAACTAATCAATTAAACCTTTATTCCCGTATGATTCAATGCGGATTTGTGGGTGGTGTAGTGCCCGTATACAATTGCACACAACAGTTTATTTAAACAATCGGAACTGCATGTGCATTTTTAATATCAAACACAGTATAGATGTTCTACAGTTCCCTACGTTTTCTGTAGCCTGAAGGATCAAGATCGTCCTTATGGATTTCTTGCTCTCAGTGGCAGCTTTGTGTTTTACTGAAAGCTTTACCGAAACTACAATACAAAGACATGCTTTACGATTCGTTATACCGTAAATCGAAATGCGGATATTACTGTATTTTATAATTTCAGTGATTTGTGTGATTTTTCGTTTTGTGTTATTACAAATTATAAATTTACTAAAGATTGTTTTGAGTCTCAAAGGTTTTACGTTAAATAAATTTTATATAAAGGCATCTGGCGTCCTTTGATTTGAATAAAAATAGGCCTGTTATTATATCAAATGCCATATGCGAGAAAAGATCAGATTCGTATCAGACGGTCCGATATCATATTGTTAAAATCAAGGAATGTTGAGTGCAGTTAATGAAAATAAGAGTGGTTTCAATAATCCATGACTCAGGACTCGATTAAATTTGCTAAATTATTTGCTTACTCCCACACTTAAAGGCCCCTAAAAGTTGTTCAACCCTTAAATATAGCGTTCGTCCTTTCTTTTAAAATAAGGTTTACTGATTCAGCACAGTGCATTTTAAGCCGTCGAAAACCTTTGCATTTTGTATATCGTATTCGCCTGAGACACATTTAGAGTAAAATTTCCACTTACGTTATTTTGTCAACGGGAGAATCGTAGGTGCAATTACAATTTTTCTCTTTTCTTGTAGATAAGTAGGAAGCATTTTGTCTCCTAGTCCTAATCCCAGTTTCTTGATCCAGCTGTACCTATCCTATAATCTATTCAGTTGGAATAAGAAAGTGGCGCATAAGGAATAGAACGTAAGCGAACATGGAAAAATTCGAAATCCTCGTAGCTAATGTAAATTTAAACGAATGTAAAAATAAAACCGAACCATAATGGTATGTATGAAACGTAACTGTACATTCAAAAGAATCCTGAAAACAAACATAACAATTCAGCTTTTAAAACGTTTTAGTTGTTCCTCACCCCCACATTCGGGTTCCATCACTAATGATAATTTTCTCGAAAAAAACAACCCCCCTAAGATTACAGTGTGCTCGAGAGATGAGTGATTTATTCGCGTTTTAACAGGCAATAAAATTCTTTGTATGGTAATTTAAGTAATAAAGAAAAAATTTATGTACAATTTCTTTCGGAAATTTGGCGAAATTATCTAATAATTTACTTTTTTGTATTTATGCGCGGTATGCGGTCTACGAGCCGATGTAAAATTAACATAACGGCGTTTCCATTCAGAAAATGAAAGTCTATATCGCACAAAGTTTTACGCGTTTGTCTAGCGAATCGCTTTTTAAGAAAATTTATGGGATATTCTAATGGAATAAAGTCTACGCTTTTATTAAGTCATTTTGTCGGTGTCATTCTGTGATTTAATACGGAGAAGGGTACGTTGGAGTGTTTTAAGGACGCGAGTCACCTGCCTATTATTAAATTATAGGGAAATTTGACACACACAATTTGGCACCCATTTAGGAACTAATTCTGATACGAATGTTTCGTTGCGTTACCAAAGTCGGTAGTTAAAATTGCAACAAAAAGCTTAGTATAAATTGCTAATTGGTTTAGGCATTGTTTGCAAGTAGAAATAATCGGTTTCCTGAAGGGTGGCATAGAAGGAACCTCCATGAAGTTTTCCCAACCAGTAATTCATTCTTAATTGCTACATCTTTGGTACAAAAAGTTATTTGTACCCTACTGCTAATAATTTAAGGCGACTAGGGGTGCATATCGTTTGTACTTTGTTTGTACTTATTTGTACACAAAGTAGTTAATTATATCCTAGATTATATCCTACTGCTCTTTGAGATATGAGTGATTTTTTTTAATTCGGACATTTTGATTCCACAACAGTATTTTTAATCTTCCATTGTGGTAGTATGTGTTTTCTTGTTAGGTGTATTAGAGCCTCTGGAATCTATTGCATGTTCCAACGAAAACTGGTTTTTATTATTGGCGCTATGAAGTCTGCTAAATTAGCAAATTTTAAGCATTTTTTCAGGATTACGATGAATAAACCTGAAAAGCATCGGTATATTGAAATATTATTCAACAAAATAACTTTTTTATGGAAAGCTACGCATATTACTACATACTTTGTTACAAAATGAAATTCTTTCTAAAATATATAATATGCGCCACGAGTACCTAATGGTTGGGGTCGTGAAAGTCCCCAACAATAAAACATTCATTATTGGTATAGTGCAGGTTTTCATGAGGTTAGTTGGAATTAAAACGATCGTTTGCAAAATTAATCACTTAAGCTCACACATCGTTTTACCTATTAAGACATTGCCTAGCCATCCAATAATTATTTCGAACCACTCCTTTGGCGACTTCTTGACACATTTGATAACGAAACTTTTACAGTTTTTGAAAAAATAGTCAACATAAAATTAAACAATAACCAAACAGTGGTTTCATTACCCATCCAATACGGAGGCCTTAGAATTCGAAAAATTGCCGACATTTCTCCAAGCGATTTCTTTTCTTCTGCGAATGGTATAATCTGCTCTATACCTTGTCTCTCAACGGAGTAATAGATTTAAATTAGATCAGACGGTTACAGTGAAACTTTGAAAGTTTGCAGATATATATTTGACTGTACTTTGTAACGAGAGCATTTAGGTTTGAACTAAAATTTTTGAATTTAAATTTTAAATTTAAGTGTCTTCTCGGGCAAATTGTGGTCGTGATGATGAAAAGGGTCGTGAGGATGTAAAGAATTTATATGGATGATTGTGGTCAATGGAATATGCGTCATTTGTTCCTTACTTCATTAATTGGTTCAGTCAAGATAGTGGGGTTCGGGTTCAAATTCAGTCTGTTTTAATGGGGATATAGTATTACATTAGGGAACTCATCATGGGACAGTTTTAGGAATTGAGTAGCGACCTTTAAAAGCTTCTGAGATTGGTAACAAGGAGAAACTAACCAATGAAAATTTAAACATAGCTATTTTGAGGATAATCCGCCGTTGGTGGTGTTCAAAATTTCACGATGTAATTAAGAGGAGAATTGGTTTTGGAGAACTTTGAACTATTAAATTTCGAAGCGCCCACTACAGTCGTCTAGAGAGATTCGCATGTTGATCGTTGGGGCAACCAGAGAGTTTATCTCTTATATCAGAAGTGACCGATTTTGAAGGTCTATTTTTGGGAAGTTGAACCGTTTTGATCGGGAATCGTAATTTATACGGAAGTTTTAAATCTCGTGAATAAATATTTGGTGGAAGCGTGCAAAATATTACCTTTGGATGTCTAAATCAAAGTTTCATCTTAGGTGCGCAATACAGTTTCGATAAATTCGTGCACTAACTAGGAAATGTTTGTACGAGGACAAATGAAGAAAAATCAGAGGTCAAGTAGCGCGTTCGAATAAAAAAACTTAACCCGAAGTTCGAATCCTGTAAAAAATAACGCATCATAAACACGCGTCTCAAGTAACGCGAACAATTTCCAAGCGACAGATTAAAAATAAACGCATCGTAATCGTGAAGGAAGACTTTCGCATTAACCGGAATTTAAAGTATACGGTGTGGAAACAAAAACTTTCCCCTTTCTGTAAAGAATCAGTAAAATTAATTGTGTGGTTACGACTCTATTCACTAAATTCTGTGCTAGTTAAGAAGTTTCACTCAGTAAAGAAAGAAAGACAACACGATAACAACCCCCAACACTTTGTTATATTCTAAAATTTTCCCGGAGTCTACAATTTTTAGCAGATTTTAAGACGGCAACCGTTTACCGTCTAATTGTTATACACTTGAAATCAGGAGTCTGTGGCCCTTAGTCATTGATTTGTGAATTAATTTCAGACATACGCAGACATATACAGCCTCCTGATTTCGAGTGTACGCAGTTTGTTCCATTGTACAATCACTGTAATATAAATTGTTCTTTGGTGAGGTCGTTTGTTAAAGTTTATGAAGAGAAATAAAAAATTCTCTTTTTCAATTTAATAAAGTGTAGATATTTGGAGAATTTACTAAAGGGGGCCAATTTATATAGCTTATTTATTGGAAATATTTCATGATGATGTACAGGTATTTATATAACGACCTATTGACAAGGGTGTAATTTTCTTTTAAGTCATTTATTTTGAATTTAATTTCTGTTCATGTAATAAAATTCTTGCTTGTAAGAAGTTCTGAGATTAATAATGGTAACATGTATTTGTAATAATGAAAATTAAGGGTATTTTGAATGTTTATTTCATTGTTAGAAAGTAAATAGGGTTAGGAATAAGAAAGAGTTAGAAAATGTGCTCACGGATTTAAAAAAGAGAGAGGTTTAAATGCGGTTTGTAAAGGAGTAGAACTGGAAATGAGGTTTGTAAAGGAGTAGAACTGGATTTGATTTTAACAATATGGAATTTAGCGTATATTGCTAGGTATATGTTTCCCTCGCTCGCTATAGAAGAAAGATAAAGCTCATACTTCGAAGGAATGCATAAGTTGTCGTATAACCAGTAATCCTAACAAAATAGGAGGAAATAGTTACTGCGAGTGAAATTGTGTAAAGAAACCATTTGCTTTTTCATAATATTAGTGATACATGAAATATGCAGTTTAAAACATGTTTTTAAGTTATGTTTGTGTATATACAATTTGAAGGTTTCTGAAATACACTTATGTCAACTACATCCAAAACCTTGCATTTCGTAATAATTTGGTACGAGGTAGATTTTGAACATAAAAATATGCTATATTACTGGTAGGACCATATCATTCACCGACCAAGAAGCGATGATCTGTTGAAATAAAGTTCACAATTTTACTTACATGACTTACGTGCACAAATAAAACTCTTACAGGTCTTTCGTGTTTATTCAATTTTTGCTTGTCCATTTTACACAAGAATATTTCATCAGATAGTGTACACGTAAATTTATGGAAGACTATGTTTAATTGCATACGTAACTTTAACTTATTCAGATAACCTTTAACCCGAGTCATTGACTGAAACTTCTTATAAAACAAATGCAAATTAAACTATTCTATCGATTAGAAATTTACATAGAAAGAATAGGTTTAAGCAAAAACTCGAAAATTTTCCTAATATGGAAGGAGCGTTTACCTCCGACCTAATTACCTAATCTTAAGTTTCATGCAACTGGGACCTATCTTTATGTAACATCATAATTAGGAAGACACGTATCTTTTGCAGTTAATTTAAATGCAGCAAGAGTTTTGTACGTTTGTACCAATATTTGTAATTTATTATAATTTTGCTTTTCTAATTAACGGTACGGGTCGTAGACTGTAGTTGGAATGGGAAAGCTTATAATAACGCTCCTATTTTATTGGATGCGCGTATAGCTCATAGTGTACAGAATAGGCACTTTAGTTTTATAGGTCGTTTCGAGTATCGACAACAATTTGGATTACGTCAATCAATATCTGCCCGTATTCGTCTATGTTAGTGCATCGCATCTGTCCGTGACCGGATTATAATCCTCCTCTCGTTTTTTGAGTGACACACCACTTCACCGAGCGCGACAGGAATTATTCAATTTTGATATTTTCACTACCTCTATCTAGGGCGACTTTTTTAACTCAACAGAAACACGTTTAGTAGAGCACTTCTCGAGTGCCTTCCATACATAAAAGATATACTGACGACCGCATTTAGGCGCTCAGATCACTAGGTACCTGAGAACATTTTTTTCAGATAAGTAAACAAAAACGCTTTACTTTTATCAAATATACTGCTGTATCCCTTCAGTCAGGAGCATAAAGAATAAGTGCTGTTCCCCACGTTGGGCGCCAAAAATTATTGCTGTATGCATTGGCATGATTTCATTATACACCAACCAAATTACACTTGGCTACCTAGATCAAAAGTACACAAATTAAGTCTTGTAACAAACCCCCATCATCCTATAAAGTTTTAAATTTTAAATAACTAAAGATCTCAGGGTCCTGCTGGGTTCCGAAACGCTGGAAAACCTCAATACTGACGTATCAAAATCTTGACGTTTGGGAAGTCAGTAATTCAAATGAAACAACTAATTTTACATATGTTACCTAGGAGTTTTGAGAATTTTAAATCTAGTTGGATGTTGTGACGAATCGATAATTCTAATTTTGTATCGAAACTTAATAAAGAAGATACATGTACTTACTGCCAAAAATGGACACTAGGTGAGAAGCTGTAGAAAATGGATCACAGATGGTCATCCAAAACGCAGTAGTACTAGGGATAATGCTGAAAGTAATGCAGCAGTCACAGGTCGCACTAGTCTCTATAGATAATAAAGTTTTAGCTACTGAACCAAATTCAGCGTTGACAGGAACCCCGCCCACTCAAAAATAAAAGGTAAAATGAAATAAATAAAATAAAAAGTTCAGTTTCTGGACGCGATTATGAGCTGAGTTAGTTACAACAGCGATCTACATTTTGAATAGGACTGTAAAGTCGTCAGGAGATGGTATAAATCCTCATGAAGTGTGGTATAAGATGAAACTCCGGATAAAACACCTTCGAATCATCAGTTCGGCCTGCTATTTCCTTGTTTTAGATCAGAAAAAAACTGAAAATAGATACAAAAACTGAAAAATACTACTGGAGATGAACGATGTTGTTTTATTCCGAGTTGTCAAATTTAAGGTAAAATGAAATAAATAAAATAAAAAGTTCAGTTTCTGGACGCGATTATGAGCTGAGTTAGTTACAACAGCGATCTACATTTTGAATAGGACTGTAAAGTCGTCAGGAGATGGTATAAATCCTCATGAAGTGTGGTATAAGATGAAACTCCGGATAAAACACCTTCGAATCATCAGTTCGGCCTGCTATTTCCTTGTTTTAGATCAGAAAAAAACTGAAAATAGATACAAAAACTGAAAAATACTACTGGAGATGAACGATGTTGTTTTATTCCGAGTTGTCAAATTTAATGAAGAAACTCAAGAATGCGAAGAAAACGCTAAAGTATTCTTCAAGAGTACTGCATTAATTACATGATGCTACTGTGAGGTAAAAACGGATCAGTGTTAAAGGTTTGAGAATATCTCACTCAATCTGTTCTCTACTATCATAAGTGCATTAATGTTCAATGGAATTTACCACATAAGAAAAAATACAATGCTGAAAGGACGCCACACGTTGTTGGTAGGCTTAAATATTTATTAAATAAGTAAAATAAAAGTGATAGTTCTTATAGAAATAAATTAAGATCAGTAAGGTCCACTAGCTCCTGGAGTACCGTATTTACTTCCTCCGGAAGTGGTGTACGAAATTCCCGTTGATCCAGATCCGAGCCCACCGTGTCCTCCATGAACCAAACCGTGACCCCTTGAGAAACCGTGTCCACCGTGATGTCCATCTTCTAAAGTTTTCACAAACGTATTTTTGTCTTGAGAAACAACATGTTCGCCACCACCGTGACCTCCAAGAGTTTCAGCAACAGCCCGCTCGGCGTCGTGTTGGTTGTCGTATTTGAGATAGTAGACTTCGGGTTTGCTTTGCACAGTGTTACCTCCTGCAATGCCGGATGGAATGGTAATTGATCCGTGAGCTTCTTGTTTTTTGGATAGCACATAGACCGTGGTTTTGTCTTCGGACGCGCCTTGAGGGGCAACAATTTCGGGTATGATGGACGAACTTGCGTCGGGCGACTTGACGAACAGTACGCGGGTTTTTATCGGGGCTGCACCCAAACGGATTTGGAGGCGCGTGTGGCCTGCACTTGGTGCGCCGTAAAAGTGTACTTGACTATCAGCAGCACCGGGCAAAGCATCTCCACTGCCATGCTCGTAAGCGTTGGCGTCATATGAGATTTTAGGGAAATAACTTACTTCTCCATGACCGCTGCTCGCACCCTGACCACCGAAACCAGGTTGTCCTACCGAAAAATGGCTGCCGCCGCCTGCACCTCCCGGACCAATGCCGAAACCACCATGACTTGGATAATAACCACCTTGGCCTTGTCCATATCGGAAAGCACCACCGCCGTGTCCACCTAACCCTCCATGTCCACCTAATCCTCCATGTCCACCAAACCCTCCATGTCCACCTAACCCTCCATGTCCACCAGAGCCATATTGATGGTAACTGCTGCCCGATCCGTAGTACCCACCCGGTCCACCACCAACGGGAAGATAGCTCCCGGTAAGCGCACCAGCAAACGCTGCGTTAACCAAGTAAAATAATACCTTCAAGAAAATCAAATTAGCAGAGTGGAGTTCCATCAGCTTAACTTACCAAAGCAGACTTCATTGTTGCTAACACAGATCAATGTGATACCCTCTGAGAATATTCGCACATTTAAAGCAACCTCCCCACCGTAGCTCTTCACCATAAGACAATATCCGTATGAATATTATGCGTTTAAAGTGATTACCAAAATTGTTACAAAATTTTTGAATAATTCGATTTGTCCCGATTACAACTATTAAGCGAGATGTATTCACTTTTACGTGGCCGTTGCAACAACACAAATTTAGCACGAAATTTGCACTGCATTTTCGTTTACACACGCGGATGTATTTGTTTGGTAGTCGAGGGGTCTGATTTAAGCGTAAACATTGACATAGGGGTAACGCTAGGCTATTTGTCCAATGAATTATAGCAAGTTTCGCATTATTTTGCATAATTTAAAGCGCGCAAATGTGTGTTTAGGCAATTGCAGGACGAGAAACAATTTATCTTTAACTCGCTGACGAGTGGTCCGTCTAACGAATTTATTAATTAAAAATTTCCTAAAAACCGAGCTTTTCAAGAGGGAAGTTTTTTGTTTTAACAGTGGACCGAAACGAGTTGCCGGCTTTAAATCTAATTACTTTCCGTAATAATGTTTCGTAACTTTAATGCTTACGGGTTAATTTGCATAACCTAAATAAATTAAAAAAAGAATTTTCCTTTGACGACATTAATTTTTTTCTTATTATGGGGTAAAAATCGTGTCATTTTAATGAGAGCTGTGGTAATGACGTAAATTTATCAATTTGTTTCAGGCGGTTGTGTTGTAGTGTAAGATCTGATTAATGTAGTGTTTAACGTTTATTGACGAAATGTCAGGGATTCTCACCCTTTTCATCCCTTGTCACTATGTGCTTAACGAAGGTAGGAGGAACCCCAGCGGTGATAAGACAAATAGGCATGCAAGTTTTTAGTCATTATCGCTGGGAGCGTAGTCGAAAGTTGTTTCATGTTCATCAATTTATCAGTTTCCGCATTTACTGTTTCGGTACCATCAATAATTTGAATAATCGAATCACCCCAAAGTTAATCTCCTACATTAACAACCCAATGAGACCTAGTAGATATGAATGGTTCCGCTTCCACTGGGGTGTGGGTAAAACGCGGACTCGGGCTCGGACTTGGTGGGTAAAAGCCGGACCCGGACCCGAACTTGGTTCGTACAAACCGGACCGGAACCCGGGTTGAGATTTTGTGGACAAAAGCCGGACCCGGACCCGAACTAAGCCACGGTCAGGAATCACTTTTGTGGCTTTCTTGTAGTGAGCCTTTATAGTTTTATTATTTTTAGCAATACATGTTTCTGAACTATACAGGGTGGTGACTTGCGTAACGCATCATAGGGATTTCAATGTAAAATTCATAACATGCAATTATTGGCTCCACAAATTATTTTAGAGCAAAAATGTATTAAGGTTTTTTGTAGAAAAAAAATTTTTACGTCAATTAACCGTATTAGTTTTCAATGTTTTGCATAATAAAGATGGAAAGTTGGAAAATAAAACCCCCATCTTTTTCAATAATCTGTGATGCCATGGAATTTTATAATACAAAAACTACGCCAATATCCGTCATGCCATGGAATGTCCGCTATAAAACAAATCAAATTCTATCAAAAAGTATTATATTTAGAACATCGAATTCAACATAAAG